TGTATGACAACCGTTTACACTGGACGGCCGTTTTTTCCTGGTATGGGACTCCGTAGTAATGAGCATCCATGATTAGAATAATGTATTGTGTATAGGTTGTTAGGAATTTTCATTTATAAGTTCCGAACTTTTTTCCATGAAGTTTACTTACCTCTGCCGTGAAATACATATTTACATTTACTGTTAGGTAGTTAAAAGTAGTCACTGGGAAATCCCTGGGTTTAGGTTTCGTGCTAGTTGGTACTTCTCAACCAAGTATACCGACAGGCTTGTGGAAATTGATGCTCATCGTGGGACTCAAACCTACGTCGCCTTCATGGTCTGAGATGATAATACTGGGCTATTCAGGCTGCCAATGACTGACTTCCTGTTGGACTGAGTTATTTACACATACATTGATTTCTATCTGTTTATCTAGAAAAGTTTTATTAGTATAATGCGGATGTAGCTATGTAGTGTTTTTTTACCGACATGAATCATGGTTGTAATACTAAAATGAACTTAATTTAATGAATTGATTGGAATTCCGTCAAGATTTTCCCAAGGAAATACATTGTTTCTTTTCACACAATGTGAAAATGTTTGCGAAATATCCCTCATTTATATAGTCTGTATTCGTCACGGAGTTTTCCGATTTGGTGTTTCGTTAAAAACCAGAAAGCATTGAACAGATTTTATCCTAGTATGAGCCTCCTCAGTAGGATGGACACATGACCACCCCGCTAGGGATTAAATCTTGAACTACCAGGTCCCACAACGAATGCTTGACCATTCTTGTTTTGCTGATCTACATTTTTTGGAGTGGGGTGATGCTTTCGAAGAAAAATTCAACTAATAAGTTAGTAGAAAACATAGTATTATTCGTGTATATAACTCTTAACGCGTCTATAGATGAGGTTTTATGCAAAAACTCCTATGACCACCTTGTCATGAATTCACTAATCGATTAGTTTTAAAAAATTTACCATGTAAATGTTATGTTCGCTACTTGATTAACGCAGAATATATTATATAACCACGGCACTCGAACGTATAAAACCCCACTGTCGCAAAATTAGAAGACAGGAGAAAACTGGAGAAGTGTTTGTTGGATACGAATCAAAATGCACAGAAAATCATGGGTATTTATATATATTAGCGTTTGTTATAATATCGTTATAATTCAGCCAACCCGCAAAGAGGCAAGTTATGCTACTAACCAATAATAGCATGCCACGTTGATATGCTAGAAAGCTTCATCATGTTCTGATTGGATAGAAACTCTTCAGTTCCTTTTGAGCCTCTGGAAGCTCTGCCATAATTCTCAGAAGCTGTCCTAACAGTAATGTGTTAAAATTTGATTTACTCATTACATTTTTCTAAATACGTTTCACCTACTTCGAGGTTATTAGTTTATTAGATTCATAAAATGAATAAAAGAATTCAATTAATTTGAAACGTTTAAATTCTAAGAACACATAAAATCCCAAGGTTTTAAAGAAACAAATTTCTTGTATTTATTATTTTTTTTCCAACAATCGACAATAAAAACAGAATAGTTTCTCTCTTTTTTTGGTTTATTTCAATTAAGTAGAAATTTAGCTGTTTTGTATTAGTCGTTTTATTTTCTATTTCAAATAATAAATTATCAGAATGGGTTTTGTGGAGATTTTAGAAATTTCACTGGTTGAAATCATGAGTCAATTGAAGCTAGACCGCCATGGAAAACCTGGAAGCACTGGATGGCTGTTTTGTCCTAGTGTGGGACTCCTCAGCAGTGCGCATCCACGATCCCGCCCCCGCGAGATTCGAACCCAGGACCTATCAGTCTCGTGCGTGAGCGCTTAACCATTAGACCACTGAGCCGGCATCCAACGGTGTTAATGTCTAACTTCAACTAATCCACGAAGTTGCGCCACCGTACACCATTGTCTAGTGAGAAGCCGTTACCAATGGAGTTCAACCAGGTCTGTTGTGAGATAGGAACTCACTGAAGACAATGGTTTACGATGGCGCAATTTCATGGATTGATTGAAGTTAGGTTTTAACACCGTTGGATGCCAGCTCAGTGATCTAATGGTTAAGCGCTCATGGTTTCAACTAGTGAAATAATAAATTATCATGAAAATATTTGTTAAATAAGATTGTTGTAATTTCTGATGCAGAATGATAAATATAGTATGCCTTGTTTGTAGGAATAGGGATCACGTATCGAGTGTCTAGATTAATTGATTCAAATCCTCAAAATATATCGTTACACATATATGGTGTTGAGAGAATAACTTCTAATAGATTGATTTCCAATGTGTGTGTGTTATAGTATAGTAGGCAAAGATGTTAGTCGTCTATCACGTTCTCGGCTTTTTATTTTCAAAGTGAATAATATTTACCACAAAATAAATATGGATATATTTCGTCTATTTTAATGCATGATACAAACCACTTTCGTCACACGTTGTGTATTAAAATATCTAAGTATTCATTTGAAAGTTATGTATGAGTCTGTTGAACTGTGTATATATCGAACTTAATTATAACTTCATTGTAAAGAAGACCTTTTCACTGAATTGCTTGTTTGTTTTATGTGCGAAATTGGAAAGTTGTCAAACATAAACTTGTGCTCAAATCATGAATCAACCGAAGTTAGATAATAATTGAAAACCTAGAAGCAATGGAGAATCGTTTCATTTTAGTATGTGACTCTACTCATCAGTACACCACGGCACTGGAAGTCAAAACCAGGACGTTCATTTTCACTTGTGAACTCTTAACCTCTAAGCCAGTGAACCGGAATACAATGGCGTATAAGCGTAAGTTGCTTACCCAATGTTATGAATTGATTGGAATCAGATATCAGCTCAATGGTTAAGCGTCCACACACGAGACGGAAAATGCTGTCTTGGGTTCCCGGTGTCGGGGTTGTATGCATGCACTGCTGAAGGGTTTGATACTAAGACAAAATGATCATCCAGTACTTTCAGGTCTTTAACGGTTGTCTAACTAAGATGGGTTCGTAATCTCAGTCAAATTCAACAGTCTCCACAACACTGTTCTAATAAACTTTTAACTCGAACAAAAAATTGACTTTTCTATTGGTAAAGACTACCGGAATTTTCAAGAAGAATGATACAAAATAGCAGGGTTTGATGTAGACCTACATTTCACATAGTATTCTGAGAGATTAATCAAAATTTTTGTATCTCTTTGCAAATCGTTTATTTTTTTTGCCAAGCAACACATTTTACTGTTTTGTTTCATGTGTAAACTTTGTTTAAATCCGCATTTATATTCCTGTTATTGTTTAATGTAAAATCTTTTAAACCATAAAATAAATCTTCAGGATAGTTACAATTGTATCATTTTGATCCTAAGTACTGAATAAGTCGTTTAAACATAAGTCTTTCTGATATAATGAGGGTCTTGATTCATTCTATGTACGAGTGATTTAAAAAACGGACTATACTATTTACCTAAGTCTACTCTTCTGCTAATATTTTGTACATAAGCACGTTACTTCATTCGATAAAATTTTATCCTCTTGAGTAGCTGTATTGTTTTCTAATGTCAGTCTATTTGAGTGTTCTCTTCAATAATTCAGTCTTGTGAGAACAGCTATCACTCGGTCAAATTGTATAGTAACCTATCATCAATCGATCACCGTTTTTTTACATTTTTATGATCGAAAGTCAGCTTAATAAATCCTAACTCTACAACACTTTCACTCATCATTAAGTAATGAATTTAAACTAATCTACATATTTTACAATTGAACCAACCGATTAGTGATATCTGAAAATCTCAAAGTCTAGACATGGACAAAGTTTATGCGTGTATAAATATCATTTAATTCAGAGTACTTTTAAACTTTACAAATTAAGGCATTTTTATTCCTTACTCTGTTCTTCACTTATCTCCCGAAGGCACTAACTGTTCATCTGGGTCACTTCATAGGGTACTGATTACTTGATTAAGATCCGCGCGATAATCGAGTTCAGTGGTTGGTGACATCGGAGGGCGGGTATCGACATAAATAATAAGTCAACTCATTCACCAGTTACTTGAAGCCACACTCCAAGTGTGCGGGCTAATGACACTACACGGTCGCAAAAGCTGAAGTAGGTGGAGAAGGATTCGAACCCAGAATCTAGTAGCTAAACGTCAAACGTCTTGACCACCAGACATGGCTCAAAATCGATCACAATAATCCAGATGCCTTCACCTTACGTCCTCCCCTCTATCTTGAGTTTTGAAACTATCTTAGATTTTTTACCCTGCAAATCCATTTTATCTTCTCGAATCATATTATTATATCTTCTATTACCCTTGAGTGATTTATTAATTTCATTTAAACACATAAATATCGGTACAAGGAGACACCAAATATATATATGCCACAGTTCGTCATCCGATTTCTGTGAGGGCTGTGATATCACTCGGGTGCCCAAACTGAAGCAGGTACTTTCTTTAAGGGGTCACTTTACGAGCCTTTGATACAGAAGTCTAGTCTACAAGACAATGGAGCAACGTTAGCTAGATGCAATCCCATGTTAGCCAGTCACCAACAATAGGTTCATATGCCATTTATCGATGCAATCTTCACAGGATACAAATATACCAACCAAGATTAATAAAAATTCAATCAAAATATGAACAACAGGATAACCGAATTTATTTGAAGTTAAAATGTCAATTATTTGATTTTTTTCTTTTGTACGTTAGAATATTTCATTGTATATATTTGTTATAATTTTCTCTTTTTAGGAGACCCAATTTCACCGTCATAGTAACTGAGAAAAAACATATATTCTTTGTGTTTGAAGTTATTATTTTCAAATGAAAATGTTCATCTAATTTTCTACTCACTAATTAACAATTTCTTCTTACGTAATCGAATAGCAAAAAAACGAGAAAAGAATCTTATTTTCAATGTTAAAATTACAAACGACGTCAGTTCTATCATTAACACTATTATTAGTACTATTATTGTTATCATTACCATTGTTAATCCTTCTTTTTACAAAATGACTATTTCAAATAAATTTGGATGTCTTTCAATTATCCATCCAAGTGTATTATTACTTATTCCTCTAGTGTTATTCAATACAACTAGCGCCAGTTTGCAGAGTAAGTAATTTTGAATACGTTCTCTCTCTCTTGTACATTATAGTTATTATTTTCATATATACATGGGGCTAACTGATCAGTGTCATGTATGTTGTGTTCTTTTTAGTGTGATCTAATACACTTCAGTTATACAGGAGGTCAGGCCACACCCCCGATAGCTTAATGCTAACATCTCTGACTGCGATTTCGCGTGATAAGAGATCATTTCCACCAGGGAATATCAATCTCCTCAGGATTACAAGGACACCTTCCTGATGAGTTGTAGCAAATAACACGAAATTCCTATATCGAGTAGGGTTTCATGTTGACTACCTCCAACCACCACCTTTACGTAATTAATCGCTGAGCAGTGACTAACGTCGTCGGGCTTGTTTAGCCATCGTAGTAGGGCGGATTAGATTCTACCGATCAATTTCTAATGTTCCCATGAGTTTCTTAATGAATCGACATTGCGTGCACTATGTTGGGTAGGTGTTGGAGATGATCAACAAGGTTTCCTGTCGACTACTTTTAATTGCCTAACAGAGATGCGTATATGTTATCCCCTACAGATGAGTAAGAATTACATCAGTGAAGGTTTAACTCATTGTCTTAGATATTCATTCATGGGGTAACGTGTTTTTGGTTTTCACTTTGTTCAAAATTTAGTAAGTTTAACATCGAACACAAGTGTGGCTCAATGCATGAGATACGAAAACCTTAGATTAGTTGTTGGGTTAGACTTATTATGAAGTCCACCCAATAAATACGACTAAAGTTGTAAAAATATACAGTGCATCGCCTTTCTTTACTTCAAAATACTTCTCACTTGTGATAATGCATCTGTTCTGTCTGCATTTCCTTTGTTCATATCATACCTAAAAGTCCTTAGAATTTATACTCTTCATCTATCTCATCGTTTTTTCCAACTTCAAATATTTTACTGGAATCGCGCGTACAGACAAATTGCCCGTATACTACAATTCATCACCAATCATCCAGTCAGTGAATTAACTGTTAAAATAGACAAACCGTATACGTTTACGTCAACGTTTGGCACTATGCTTGCAACTTTTTTGGTTTTGCACTGTTAGGCGTAATTCACTTGAATAAGCTATCTACATAAAGACACATCAACAGTTGACGTTTCACCAAATATTTTAACAGTTCGGTTCCCATAATGACTGGACAAAGTAATATATGTAGTTGTGTATATATGGGAAAACTCTATGCACACAACTTAATTTTCCGGTAATGAAGTTAACCTATCAGTTTTTTTCTGTTGATGAATATCATATTATACAAAAATGTACGAAAAATTTTGTAAATTGTAAAACTTATTGATTTCTATTGAAATCACGAACCGATCTAAGTTAAACAATGACTGTTTCGTCCTAATGTAGGACTCCTCAGGAGTGTACATCAGCGACCTGGACACCGGGACTTCAAGGAAGGATTTTCAGTCTCTTGCGCAAACACCTAACGTCTAGACCATTGAGCCCGTGATTCAATGGTATATAAGTTTAACTTTAATCAGTTCATGATATTTCTTGTCCATTTTCTATTGTCTTCGGTGCGTAACACGTTTTTCACTCCTCCAACACGATGTATTTTGTGTATTGTTTTAAAAATCCTTTTATTTTTTTACTTCTTTTGTTAAAACATAGTTATACCGCATTTCACCAGCCTACCTCCATCTATCTCACAATTTGTATATCCATCAACCGATGGTACCAGTTTCCCACCACTTGAACTTGTATGTCGAGCATGGCCACCTAATTCTAAGCTGCATATTTTGGCCCAACAATTGACATCTCCAGGATTCACTGATCCAACATTTGGTGCAAATCCTATTGTTTCTACTTCATTAATTTCTGTCAATCCTAATCATCATAGTAATAATAATAACAATAATAATAATGGATTAATGCAATTACCTTATGGTCTTGGCAGTCAACGATATGCTATTTTATCCTCTACACAAATCACTAACTCTTATCAACCAAATTTAGATGGTACTATTTCTGGTAATAGTGGTTATCAGTCAGTTAATCCATTGATTATTCATGAAACTTTAACTGATGCAATTCGTGACAATCCTGCAGCTGGATCTCATGACGAAGTTGCTATTCGTCTTATAGTTTCTAGTCAATCAGAATTAAGTCAAATGGAATTAATACGGTTGCACTGCTTAGCTACTACTTCGTTTGGTCGTAAATTAAGTGCACCATTCCGTGTGCTTCCTGCTAGTAAGTTTTGATTATTTTTATTTTATCACAAAATAGTTTAAGAATTCTATTATTGTTATGAATAATGACTTGTAATTCCCTGGTGTTGATATTGTGAACTGTAATTGATCAGTCTCTGTTACTATATTGTACAGCCTGAACAGATTGTATCGGAATAGCGTTATATCACAATTGTTATTAGCTGTCTAAACTCAGTAGCTTAATGGATAACACGTTGAGTGTTCGAGGCGAAAGGTACTGGGTCCGAGCCCTGATGTGAAAATCAATCATGGAATGCAGGCACATCCATCCGACGAGTCCTAAATTTAACGAAGTGCTCATCCTAAATTAAATTACTAGTCACACATCAAATATGCTGAATTTTATATTCTATGTTTAACAGTTCTTTTCTAACTCAATACTTTTTAATTAAACTTTAATTAATGTCGTGACTTGGTGATTAGGGCGTTTGAATTTCAGTCACTAAGTCTCAGATTCAAATCTGGCTCCACCTACTTCCGTTTAGACAACCGGGTAGCATCATTACCTCTCTTACACTTAGAGTGTGCCTCTTACCCAAGTACCTGGTGAATGAGTCTATGGAGTGTAATGTAATCTAGACTGCTCGCTCATATCTTCCCCTCATTTAATGCATAGTGTTTCCAATTTTCTTGATCTCTCTCTCCACCTTATCGCTCTCATACACTAAGTCTTTGCCATCCTTTTTTTCTGATGATGTCAATATATTTGTCCTTTTTTCGATTTCTTTAAAGGTTTGGGTTCATTTCCAACTCCTAGAAGTGGTGGACCATCTTCATCTCATACTGAAAATGTTGAATTTCTACGAGGGAATATTGCTATTGTTGACTGTTATTTGCCAACTAATAGTTTTCCTAAACCATTAATTGAATTTGAATTAAACAACACTGTTATTGATCTTACAGGTATGTAAAAATTCTCTATGTATATCACGCGTATTCGGAATCAACTTCTATTTCTAGGTTTATTGAAATAAAGACAGGTTCTAACAAATCTAGGTCACTAACTATTCGTTCAAAATATGGTTGTAGTTACAAACTATCTGGTTTATATCCGCAACTAGTCGCCGTAGAATTTCGATGACACGGTTCAGAGTAGTTTACAGTGTAAGAAGATGCACTCACTTTTTATCGTCCTCTCCATCTTAAATTGTAATGTTCTCTCACGTTAACTCGGTCTTGTCTAATCTTACTTTTCACGTTATCCTTTACATTGCCATTACTACTAAAACTGTCCCGGCCCTTTTTTTTTACTATATATATCTTGGTAAATTCATCTCGTTGTGACACATTACGAGGGGGCTTTAGCGGCCTATCTTCGTTAATTAATCACCATGATAACTGTTGTTATATAAATCCCAACGGTGTTTGAATTCAGAAGGCATTAAGAAGCGGAGACTACGGTTTGTTAGCGGATAGCACAGATAACAAAGTTACAAGCATATCGAGCGAATCGGAGCAGAGAGGCCAATATATGTATGTGAGCGAATACAGAAGTGAATTTATGGTCAAATGGAATCAAGGCGCAGCGATGCACGACAAAGACTATTAATAGGAATTGAGTACATATATTTATATATTTCCATACATGGTAAAGAGAATGGTTGATCGAGAGAGAAAGAGAGAGAGAGATATTCAAGATAATAATATTCAAGTTATCGAGAGATATGCACGTAGGTTGTCCTATGTGATCAAGCATACACGTTTATACAAGTACGACAGTGATGATAATAATAATACAAAGATATAAACGAATTGTTACTGTCCGAATAACATTATCTGTTAAATAAGTTAATAAAAGGACTTGATCAAAGTCAACCATAAGAAAAAGTAATTGTAGGAGGATTGCTATAGTGGTATGGTAACTTGGTGCAACGTATATCTACGTTAATAATAGTGACTGACTGGCCAAGTTTACAACCGGCTTTACTTTATCAGCCTGAAAATATCACTAGCTCACATTACGAAAATGTATGACTCAGTACAAAGTTGTTTTTGATTAATAACGTGTTATTACCACTTTAATTATTATTATGTATCAAAGAAATCTAGTTGAACACATAGTCCACCTAGCAACTCATGAATTTTCACGATCCTCAATAACAATTGTGCGATATCAACCTAGCTAATTACCGTATTAAAATGTATATGGTTGAAGTATTGAGATTTTCGAACACCTTATTGTATGCTCGCTGTTTCAATCGCACAATTAAAAGATCTACCATCTTCTATTCACCTATTCTACGCATCATTTTGTGAAGCTTTGCAAGAGTGGTTATTCTTTAGCATACAAAATAACAGACAGAAAATATATTGAATAGTAGGTTGGAAGAAAGCTAGGGGCGGCCAGGCTAAAACATGGCACAAATCCATGAAGTCACTGATAAGTGGACCGAGTCATGTTGGTAGGTGTAGACTACCTGGTTGGGGACCGCGAGATGATAGCAACCGATGGTTAGAGACCTTGAATGACATGGCTCAAAATCGTTTGCAACGGCGCAGCTGCATCCACTCTGTGTTCTCCCGCATTCTAATCTTTTGAACTCTTTATGTCCCTTTCTTTTTTTTCTCTTCCCAAATTTATTTCACTGGGTTATACTCCTTGAATAACATCTTCAAACCCTGATGTTTCTGATTACAGCTTATACTCCTACTACCTCTACCACTATGAGATTTGAATCGATAATTGTATCTGTGTGCTAATGTGGTAGGACCACTCAAACTGATGTATGTACGTACGTATAAAGTTCCACGTTGTTACTGATTGACTGACTGAATAGTAGTATACTATAAATACCATGACATACTGACTCCGTTCCATTCTGTTATGAGAAATCACCATCACTGACAATGCTTATTGTCTAAATGAAATATCTCATTGCTGTCACTTTCACTTTTAAACTTGCTTTTAATTTTAACATTCATCAACCGAACTATCTAACATGGTAAGACCGAAAATATGACTTGTTTCTATAAAATCTCTATCATAGTGAAATATGTATTTATCATCTCCTTCAATAAACTAGGAAAAGTTTTAATGTCTGATTTATATTATTCAATGATTTTTGTTAAAATCAGTTTCTAAGTAAAATATTGATAAAAACAATATTTACTGATTTGATGTTTGTATTTAATACAATATGTAGTTGTTCATACTTGACAACTAACTATTCCTATCACATAATGTACATGCTTATACGTACATACATACGCACACACATACATACATATATATACTCAGAAACTTGACAAGTTATATCATATCATTATCATTATTTACTGAACTACTTATATTTTGGCAACTTAAGTCAATACATACTGTCAAGTTTGTTTTTTTTAATCCCCGTCTTATATTTACATATTTACATACATTGATACCGAAAATTCAATTATTTAACAATATCAAAAATATGTTGGTTCCTAATATTCACGCGTACTAACGGTATGAAGTTTGTTAGAACAAGCTTTTATTTAACTATGAAGAAGAGCGAAATAAAAGTTATCGATCTTTCGTGTACTACTACTACTATTTATGTTATCTACAACAACGATTGTATTTAATGATAGAGAGAAACTTTTGATCGAAGAAAAAGTAGGTTGACTATTTGAAAAGATTTAGATATCTGATTGTGTTCAATAATGCTGGATGAAATAAAACATCGTTCGATTCCATTTTTTAAGAAGAGCCTATATAAAATATGAAGTAGTAACTTATATATATATATTTCCAGTCGCGGCCAGACCAAAACATGACACAAGTCTATGAAGTCACTGACAAGTGGACCGAGTCATGTTGGTAGGTGTAGACTACCTGGTTGGGATCGCGTGGCAATAGCAACCGATGGTTAGATACCTTGAATACCATGGCTCAAAATCGTTTGCAACGGCGCAGCTGCATCCACTCTGTGTTCTCCCGCATTCTAATCTTTTGAACTCTTTATGTCCCTTTCTTTTTTTTCTCTTCCCAAATTTATTTCACTGGACTATACTAATGTTTCCGATTACTGCTTATACTCTTACTACCTCTACCACTATGAGATTTGAATCGATAATTGTATCTGTGTGCTAATGTGGTATGGCAACTCGAACTGATGTATGTACGAAGTTCTACGTTGTTACTGACTGACTGACTCAATACGATTGACTTCCACTATATTATAAACATTATTGCAAAACTTGTCAGGAATATAGGTCGATTTTCGATCAGATCGTGAATGTGGTTTTGTTAGTTTTTATGTAGATAGGCAACTTTTCTGCGGGGATTTAAATTTGTTTAGATAACCTGCAATTGATTATGTTAACTAAAATGGTGAAATTTAAACTATGTTCAATTATCCTTCTGTGATCCTTCGTAACTGCTTCCTATTTTAACCTAACTGCTAAATGTTACTACTACAAATACTACATTGTTTTCTCCCTATAGTCTATGTATTTTTGTAAATTTAACTCATACCATCCGTACATTGTTCTTCTGGAGCGGTAACTGAGTTTTTAGTCATTCGATTCTGTCTTCGAACCCTGTAACAGCTATTTTGATTTTTATACAACTTGACAGTATTACTAAACGTCAAAGATGAAAAACATACTCCAAAGACAAGTATAGAAACTGATACTTGATAAATGAGTTGGATTATCGTTTTATTCATAGTCAGACCTTAGAGATTTAACAAACTAGATAAATCTCCATCATTCTGACTCAGTATAATGTTGTATATACTCTTAAATTTTAACCATAAACATCAAACCACACCTTATCTGAAGTGTTTGTTTCAGCAACTTGCTGAATAATAGGTATACCTTCAAACTTTATATAACTCTACTTGATAAAAAGCCTAAAACAGGAAAATTAATATTGGCTAAATGAGTCATTAGGTAATTGCTTCTAATGTCTTATAAGATGTACACTGAATGATGTATAGTGATTGATAATTTAAATAGAACGCCTATGTATATGTACATCGCGTAATAAACACTTAATATGGTTTATTAGTTAGTTTGTAACGGCTAAAAATACTTGGTTACTACCTAGTTTAATGATCAGATTATTTATTAGGTACACACCTATTTAGGTATCTCTTCACACTGAAATTGAAGTGGGTATGAATATGTGCTAAGTTTATTTTTCAAAATAAATTTATGTCAAAGTTATCATCATTATTCATGTGTGCATACATAAAACCACAATTTAGTGTTGTAAGAACATAAGATAATAAAAAAGAAACTAGATAGAACAGTATGTATGCACATATCCCGACCATAAACTGCTGTTTTGACCTGGTAGTCGGGTGCACATATTGTGACAACCCAGTGAAAGTATATTGGCTGGAACATTTGTTATTCTAGGTTCCATCATACCAAGCAGGTTGATTAGAGAACAGAAAATTCACTGCCTCATAACTAAGTAGCATTATTAAACTTGTACCAAGTTTGATAGCAGTAAGGTGTTTCCATTAGACAGAAAATGTTTGCAGTGGTTCTGACTTCTCAAAACCGAAGAAAGGTGTCCGAAAACGTCGGCCCTAAAACTAAATCTCCTCGTCTTGCCCTACGAATTTCTGTTGTTGTTAATCTGGCATTAAAAGTACGAAGCCAACACATCCTAAACTACTCACAGAAGGATTGAGTGTGAATAGCCTCAAGCTGTTGTCCCTTAATTACTCCCAATTCACTAAGATCATCCCTAAATCTGTTTGCTTTTCGGTTACCTTACTAAGAATTAACCTTCTATAGTGTAGACAACCGTGAAGTGACAGCCTCATATCTCTAACACCGTCTTCGGCTTACATATATCTATCGTTTGTTTACACATCTTCACTGGTGGTATCTATGGTTTTGCTATCAAACTGCTTGAAACTGTTGACCTCATAGGCAGAATGGAGCTCGAACTTATGAATTAGTGGTTGAAAATCAAATATTTGAACCATGTAGCTCGTTTTAAAAAAAAAACCAAGACTGGAATTTACATTTATTTCTGTTAACATAGAGTAATGTTTTCAATGGGTTTTGTAGTTTGTTCGCATCTATTACAAAAGATTACTTTGTTTATGTAACAAATGCACTTTCATCATTCATCAATTATTATTTCGATTTTTTTTGTTTAATAAAATAACAACAACATTGTAGCTTCACAAAATGAAAAATACCGTCAAATTACCCGTCCAGACGGGAAAAGAATTAGTTTATTAATACAAAATTTCCAACCACGTGATTGTGGTATCTATCGTTGCGTGGCAATCAATCCATTAACTAGAGAAAGGAAATATTCACCGGATGCAGTGAATTTAAAAATTATCAGTAAGTGTTCTTTTTTATCTTCCTATCTATATGCGTCGTTGGTCTTTGTTACTTCTTTTTCTTTGACAGTTTGAATGCAGTCAATATATATCTATCTCTTCTGAATGTATAAGTATGGAGGTAGATTTGAAAAAAGCTAAGAGATAGTGGCTAACCCAAGACATAACATCGACTTGTGAAGTTATTAACTCCTGACATAAGTCATATAGATGGGTATCGACTGTTACCTGGTTGGAGTCTGTAACCAATGTATGGACATAATGTGTGACATGGTTGAGAATCGGTTGCAACAAGGCAGATGTATTCATTCTTTGTTTCCACAGTTTTAAATCGTCGTAAAGGAGGTCAGTCGCGGCTCCAATAGCTCAGTTTCAACATCTCTGAATACGAAGTTAGGCGACATGGTATCGATTCTACCGGATACCATCAGCTTCTTCAGGATTACAGGAACACTGCTGATGAATGACAAATAACATGAAACCTAGGTCAAGCAAGCTTTTCTGTTGACTACCCCTATGCAGCCCCTTACTCTTTGTCTTCCGTTATGTCTTGGACTTTAAAATCATATTTCACTTTTTATTCCACGAATGCTTCCTTGCTTCTGAAACCATACCTTATATCCCTAATCTTATTTACCCACACTGATACTGTTATCTTAGCATTCGCCTTAATCACTTCATTTCACTATAGTGATTTGATTTTCTTTATGTATATGAAACATAACCATTAATAATTGCAGATATCTATAGACTATACTAGTATTCGATCATACGTGTCTTCCTACCACCGCTTGTGTATTTTGGGACCACCAAGAGAGCAAATACGAGGTTACCCATTGGTTATTAGGTGAATATGGCAAGTCAGTCAACGAATCTTGGTCGACTGAGTTATTTTTAACATGTGTTGCATATGCTCATCCACTGGCAACCTCGACGGGTGATGTCTGGTGTAGGATTCGGTTGTAAGAAAGCTAGAGGTGGCCAAATCAATCATGGAACCAGTCAATAAAGTCGCTAAAAATAGGTGCATACTACCTCTTTGGGGTCAGCGTGATTATCGCGACTAATGGTTTGAGACTTTAAATGACATAGTTCTAAATTGTTTACAATTTGAACAGGTGCATCCATCCTTTGTCTTCCCCCGAATTCTAAGCTTCTGAATCCCCCACATTTTTTATTTCACTAATTTATATTTTCTTGAATCGTATCTTCGATGCCCAGTATTTTTATCACTACCCATTGTTACTGCTTCTACTACTCTGGTACTTGTTGTAACAATTTCATCTCTCTGTGCTAATGGGTTTCGGCAACTTGAACCGATGTACATATGTATCAGGTTCTACGTTAAGACTAACTGGCAGAGTGATATGGTGTGGGAACTGAAACTGATACACTTGTATACCCCATGTTCTACTCTGTTCATGAATGACTGATTAACGGTGAGGGAATTATAAGCTTTAATTAACCACTTATCCTTAATCGTGTCAATAAATTCCTTCCCACTCCACAGTGTTATCATCACATACCATCTTTGATTGTAGAAAAGTATTAAATTGTTTATTGTTGATCTCCCTGAACAACTTTGCTGAACTGTATAATATGTATATTAATTTTGTGCACTTTTAATTACTTTGCACTCATGTTAAATCACAGTTTGTTTGCATTATTTCAAGGATTTTCGATTCTCACTTGAAGACATTTACATAATTCTAACGTCTGTTAACATTTTTCTTCTGTAATCTAAAAAATCTTACTATTCATAAATATCCTTTACTCCATCATAAATAGACATATAAGCTGAAACAACACATCCTCTGACGATATGTTGATTTTTTCGAAATCATAAGCCAACCTAGCACGTTAGTTTGAGACCCTGCATTATTGTACACATACAGCCGCTCCGTTAGAAACCGAACTGGGAACTTCTAGGTCTCACAATTAGCGCGATACTTCTGAATCATTCAATTACGCACTGTTTAGTTGATACCAGTTCAAGTTGCAAGAATAATTCAAAATAACGACACAATTATTGTTAGTGTAAGGGGGTTTGTGGAACTATTACGGCCACTACAGTTTAACTACACCAAGTGTAATAAGCAGTTACTCATCAATGATATTGATAGATGGTTGTGGGTTATCATGAACAGAATAAAATTAAACATGTTAACCATTGGATGTCAGTTTAGTAGTTTGAATGTTTTAAATGCTCTACGAGGAACTTGAAGTTTCTGAATTCACCTCTCCCTAACACTTTGGTGGATTCCTACTAATATTGTTAAGTCCCAAACTACATAATGCTTTTTGGTTTTCAATAACCATCTAACTAAGGTCATTTTGTGCTGTAAATAAAATTTTTGTTTACAAATATTACTCAAAAATAAACTTTCCAAGTTACGTTAGTGTTCGTTACCTATTCGAATTACTTTTCTCTATAATAAATTTGCAACGAACAAAAATATTTTTTACCCACATCCATAGCAACACAAATGTACATATACTTTCATATATATATATATATATATATATATATATATATATATATATATATATATATATATATATATATATATATATAGAGAGAGAGAGAGAGAGAGAGAGAGAGAGACGCGTAAGCTTACTCACTTTACTCTCCTGCCTAATTAAAGATGACATTGTGATGTGTGTAACTTATGTCGACAGATATAAGTAGTACATATCACCAATCAAAAGTGAAATGTCTGACTACAGATGATTAAGAAGATCGACGAGAAGAGAACGAGAACAGACAGTGATTGATATGGAAATGAAGGGATAACCAAGTCTGAGACAATTGTTTGATATTTTGCAAATGAAATATTTACTGTATGATTCTCAGATTTTACTATGGGATTCTGTAATTTTCTATTCAAATACATTTTGTTGTCCCCACTTGTATTGTCATTCACAACAATATGAATATTATCTTAAATAAAATCTATTGTCAGCCTATATATTCGTTTACAGACATAATTATCAATAAATAGTATATAGGACGGTGATATTATCACACTTTTTCCTCTCATTTCATTCAATAATGATAAATGACAATTTGTGAATTAAATAGTTTTATTCAAAGCAATTCGTACAGGATGCACATATGTCAATGAGAGATTGATCAATTACAGTCCTACACATGAATGGAAAGATCTAAATAATCAATATATACAAAATCCCTTTCTTTCCCTGTATTTTTATCTATCATCAGTGATAATTATACTACTTCATTACATTTGTGTCTATCCAAGAGACTATATGCATTATTGTATCTCTCAATTCATCTATTTTTTTTAAGGAGTAACAGTAGCTCCTTATGAAATAATGCAAATAAACAAATTGAAAGTGTTTTTAATGCTTTAATTATTTCATCTACTTTCCTGTTTGAAAATGTGTAATGTTTTCTATACCATAAAATTTATTTAAGGCTTCATCCATCCCACAGTTATTAAGTGTTTCAGTTTGTGTACTAATGGGTGAGACTATAATTTATGGACGACCTTTGGGCGACACCAGATTGACCTTGAGAGTGTCCACCTAATAACCAGGACCAAATGAGGGTTATAAACCTGTGTGATGAATTGAAATTGTGATTTACAGTTGGTGATTGAGGTTAGAAATTAGATTTAGTGTTTTCATCACGCACTGACATAAGCCATAATGCCATAACCATTTACTCGAATGAGTGAATTTCGCGCCAAAATCCAAGACCTGTTATCTTATATGTGATTGGTTCGTCCATAAATTATAATCTCGCCGGTTCATACGCTATTTATTCCCTCAGGTTCCTGGAGCCCATGAGCATCATGTTTTACTAACTCCCCTAGGTGAATCTACGCTATCCAACAACCCGATTTTCGTGCCGGTCATGCTCTTCTCTTCCTTTCAATTTCATAACATCCCATTCACGGTATGTCAGTGAAAAGGACTTCCCTGTCAGTGGCTGTATACGCGTGATCATGTGATAGCATTTGGAGAGGAATAGTTGACTCTTCCCACCCTCATTCGTACCAGGGAGTTTGGGGGCTATTCCTTGAACACACTACTTTATTCGACTAAATCCTAATATCAAAACACTATTTTTATAAGAAAGAGAAATATATCCCAAAATGTGAACAGTCAAAGCCGGAATAGTAAAAACATAGGAATATTCTTACATTTTCCAAAATCATCTATATACTAATTATAGTGCTAACTAGTTACAAAATGAATTGGTCCGTCAACATGTTCCGACACATGTTGTCTAGAATGTGGATTAATCAAAGCTTTTGTCCTACCAACAAATAATAACTCTATGATTGATGAGTATATTTTTTCGTTATTACAGTGTATACATTCATTAGTATAGTCTTTTGCTGTAAAATTACTTCACTAAAACTTATGCATCATGCATAAATTTTACTACTCTTCATATCTTTTATCAATCTTGTCTGAAATATATTCATTCTAAAGTAGAGCAGCGTAGAAATCACGTTCTTTCAGAAAATTTATGCTTCAATATCAGAGTATTTGCATTTGTTTGGTAAACAGTTTGTTTTTCTGCATTATTTTTATATTTTAGTCCCAGATGTTCCTGTTGCCGGAAAAATTCGTGTTCCTATGGCGTCGGAATCCATAGATCCTCGGAATTCAGCAGCATCCCAAGAAATAGTCGTTCGAGAAGGTCAAAATGTTACATTGTTTTGTATTATTCAAAGTGCTCCACCTCCTATTGTCACTACTTATCCATTTGAACAAAATTCCACTGCACATAACCGTTTTCATCGACATAATTTATTTGGTAAGTAGTTATTTTTCTGTTATATATTCTAGCTTGGATAGAAAGATGGTTTGGAAGTAGGTTAACTCGATCTAAACCAAGTTATATCATTAGTTCATGAAGTTATTGACTGAGATATATTGGTAGATGCAAAATACTTGGTACCTGGTTGTGTTCTATACAATAATTATGAATAATGATGTAGGTCAAAATAAGTCCTCAGTATCGTAGATAGATATGCTCTTTTTTACTGTCCTCTAAACAACGAGTTTCAATATATTCTAGTATTTCATATTCTCTAACTTTCACAATAATACACACTACTTTTCTTGTGTTGATTTCAGCCCGTGCTGAAGTGGTAAGTGAATCTGGGTCGTCAACACCCATTTATCCTCGATTCCTAGGTTTTTTGGGTTTTTGACTTTATTCTCAAAGTTGCTTACATTGTAAGTATAAGAAATTAAATTACCCTAGTACCTTGATGATTTGACATTTATAAGATAAATTTCGCCTTGCATCTAAATTTTTGATATTGAATGATGGAGAATGTCGTAAGCGTTACATCATACCTAGTATGTGATGAATCGTCATTTATCTAATCTTGAGGAAGTGGAAACATGACTTTGTTCAAAGTGTGAACATTCGTTTGTGTGCAATATACATAGTTCGGTTGAGATGCTAGGTTAGGAGAAGTGTTTTATGTAACAGCTGAACATGATAATAGTGTACAAAGAGAATTAAAATTTGATTCAGTTTACTTATGGTAAATTCTGTAATAAAAATTGCTTAACATATCTAGTCAATAACGTCATCATCTGGATTCTTAAATTATAAAGTTAGTTTATGTATTGTACTTGGCCTGAGGTATCCATGTTGGCAGATTCAGACTAGCTGAAGGGGTTGGTCTCTGCAATAACAGAGCTCAACTGTTGGGGACATAAACTTACATAATTTAGTCACAGTAACCCAGATGTATTCATTTGCTAGCCACCTCTCCTCGACCTTGATTACCAGTATTCCTGCATATGTAAACCTTTCATTCCACATTCCCAATTGCTTTACTATTCATTTTAGTGAATTCATCATATCTCACCAATGTGATATAATAAATTGGGTTAACGCACATTATTGCTAGTCTGTACATGGATTATGTATGACTGACTGAAAGTTCATTATGTCTTCGGTTGCTTTTAGCTACAATTTCATTTTAAAGGTCGGAAGAACAAAGAATTTTGACGAAATGACATGAATTCGTTTTTTTTCTTTGCATTCGCTACAGTTGGTTCTTAAAATCTAATATTTTAAAACTAAAATTATCACACAAATAACATACTTATGGCCATAAAATAGATCAGATATGGTTATGCTTCATCATTGTGAAGAAGTAGAGATCCGAATTAATATAATGGGATTGAAATGAACTGCACTGGGTTCGAATCTTGTAGTGAATCTAACTCAATCTAGGATGCAGGTACATCCTGCTGAAGAGTCCCAAATGGGGTGGAACGCGCATCTTAGTTTCCACTACTAGCCATCATTTATCTCCGCATATAGGTGAAACAATTAATTGATTATGTAATGAAACAGGTGGACATAATTTGATAGTAATTAAGAATAAGATGAGGTGAGATCAGTCAGTTCAAGCATAACATTATGAATTTGAAAGATGTAAATAATGCAATTGAAATAAGAAGAGTTGCAAGAGTGTTATAGTAAACTGAGAGTGAAGTCACCATGGTAAAGCGAGATTTGTCACTCTTTCTTTTTGGATTTACAGTTGATTTTCCACTGAGTAGGTAACCAATTTCACAAACGTCAAGTCCTTTTAGCACTGATTGAATTTTACCGATCAAGTTATAGTAGGGTCACTAGTCCAAGTCCAAATGACTTGACATCACATCCACTATATTAAGGTGTTTGGAAGTAGTCGACAGGAACCCCCTCCTCAACCTAGGTTTCATACTATTTGGCACTCATCAGAAAGATGCACCTTTGTTTTTAAGGAAACTGATACTTCCTGGTTGACTCGATCTTGTGTCACCCAGCTTCATAGTCAGAGACATTACCATTCAGCAATTCAGGATGTGGCTCAAAGCTGCGTAACTTGAGATTGAATTCGCCAGGAGGTATCAGTTCCCTCAAAATTACAGGTACTTCTTCCTGATGAGTAATACGAGTAACACGAGACCTAGGTTGGGTAGGGTTTCCTATCGACTGCTTCCGAACACCACCCTACATCTTTTTGGATAAGTCCGGCTTTAAACTTTTGATGGCTATAGCTTCGGAAAACTTGAGAAGAATAGAGTTTGGTTGTCGATTGAGAATCTTGGAAGACTTCGGTATATCAACCTGATGTGTTGTATCAAAGAGGTACTTTGAAATAAAACTTCTGAAAGGCTTTAAAATCCCTGTGACATAAATTAGTTTCATTTAATCTATAAGATATATATAAAAATAATTGATCATTGATCATTTCCAATCTACGTTATGTATTGGTTTCATATTTTGTTTCTTTACAAAATTATTTGTCCAGACATCTACGTTTATTTATAACGTGCGCGCAAGCTAATATTATCTTCATGTCTCAGTATTCTCTTTCAATAAAAAAAAGTACATTATCGTATCTTATATTCTCTTATTCACTCGTTATTTTCGGTTGATAAATATTTTCTACGAGACTAAATAGACCATGTGTTTGTTAGGAAACAAAAAAGCAAACGAAGGGCACTTGTCGTAGCTTCTATATTTTATTTTCCTTTTCTATAAACTTACACAAATCCTTCTCCTGCCCTCTCCCCAGCATATTGTCACAGTCAGTCATCTCATTTCGTCTTCTTTCATTTGATCCAAGCAAAATAATTTATTTTTATTTTTATCATTAATATTGATATCAATCTGTTAATAGACGAGAAATAACATTGTTATCGTTTCATAAATACTTCACAATATTTGATAATGTATTTTTTTCTATTTATATACATATACTGTCATACAATGTGTCAATGTAGAACGTTTCACTGTCCAGTTTTAATACATACATTAAACCATGTGTGTGAACTATAGTTGTAGTAATGCATTTTTGTACTGTTTGTTTGAATCTTCCGATTGATTTGTGAGACTGCAATTGATCAGTCTCCTATTGACATATGTGCATCTTGTGCGTATTGCCTTAAGTCACAAGCATATAAGCAGAGATGGATAGGGGGCCAGCAGTGCAATTCAGAATGCGCGCCACTTCGTCTTATTTGGGACTCGTCAGCTGGATGTGCCTGCATCCCACAATTGATTTTCACTCCGAGACTCTTTGCTTATAATGCTTGTGACTTAAGGCGATATCGAGACGATTCGCACAAGGTTCACAAATGCCAATAAGTGACTGATCAATTGCAGTCCTAAACACCAATGGGAGAATTCAAACAACTAATATAAACATGAATTAATCTTCGCCCGATTGCAAAAGCTAGTGGCTATCTGGACACATTGGCCAAATGGATAGCGCGATGATTTTTAGGACGGAAGGTACTATATTCGAGTCCTGAAGTGAACATCAACTCTAGAATGCTGTCACGTCCATCTGGTGAGTCCAAAATAGGACGAAGTGGTTTGCGTTCCAGATTACATTGCTAGTCACCACCGGTCTCTACTCATAGTTGTAGTAGTAATAAATGATGGACAATTTGAAGTAATTTATCAATTAAGTTCATGTTCACATACATGAATAAGAGTGTGAATGATCCGGTTATTGATATCCAGATGATGTTCAAACCATTAACCTGTTGACCAGACTGAAATAGTGCGAAAAATTTGTGCACTGAATTATACTGCTAGCTTCAATCTGTCTATTCTCTGTAGAGAGATGTTTTGTTTTTATTTAGTAGACAACTCAAAAGTAATCGTTTAAAATTAGTTGACTTTTAAATCGAATAATTGTGCGTTCGTTTCTCTTTAGTCATTCATATTTAATCATTGCAGCTGAATCGTTATGGTAGTATCATTTGTCGTAACACAAAAGTGTCTACAATGAAACTTAGTTACATGAACATTTATACTTAGCCACTAATAATAACAGTTCAGTCGGTGACGTACTAACTATTACCTCTTAAGTTCTGTTTGTTCGATCATTGTATATAAATATTCTTTTCAAGAGAGTATGATGTAATATACGTTTGCGTCCCTTTTTTTGATGTTGTTGTTGTTCGAAATGATTTTTAGTTCGTTTGTCTCCTAGTGTGTATATTTAACCTACACCAGGTTAAAGGTACATCTAAACTGGCGAATCGTATGTGGAAAAAAATATGCATCCTGTGTTCTACACTGCTTATCACAAATGGAAAACTATTGGGAATTTATTATAGTTATCGTTTTAATGTCAATAAAATAAATTCATCTTTATTTTATTGTAATTTTATATCAAATAGGATTATTGGAGATAATAAATGTACACCCTAGCGATGCTGGTATCTATATTTGCACAAATCGTCAATTAAGTTCTACTGCTCAACTACGTGTTCGAAGTAAGTTGTTCATGGTCGTATCGTTTTGGTTTGATTTGAACTGTTGATTAGTAAATTTTTAATTTGGTAACACAAATATATGTATAAATGTTGTAGTGGCTTAGTTTGGTTAACCAATCACATTGATTCCCGTCGTTATATAAATCCCAACGGTGTTTGAATTCAGAAGGCATTAAGAAGTGGAGACTACAGTTTATTAGTGGATACCACAGATAACAAAGTTACAAGCACATCGAGCGAATCGGAGCAAAGAGGCTAATCTATGTATGTGAGCGAATACAGAAGTGAATTTATGGTCAAATGGAATGAAGGCGCAGCGATGCACGACAAAGACTATTAATAGGATTTGAGTACATATATTTATATATTTCCATACATGGTAAAGAGAATGGTTGATCGAGAGAGAAAGAGAGAGAGATATTCAAGATATTAATATTCAAGTTATCGAGAGATATGTGCGTAGGTTGTCCTATGTGATCAAGCATACACGTTTATACAAGTATGACAGTGATGATAATAATAATACAGAGATATAAACGAATAACATTGTCTATTAAATAGGTTAATAAACATCCTGACAAAAATTAACCGTAGTCGAAATTAATCGTAGGTATGTTGCAATGCTTATGATTATTATCAATTTTGTAGCACGATTGATGCAGACATCAGGAGATTAGTACACCCTTTTTAAGCTAACATATATGGTTCTGAACTGACTCGCCCCGAATTTAAATCGTATATGCATATGTGGTCCATGAATTGACCTGAAAGAATTAGTCATACTTTTGTGTATTGGTTGAAAAACCCATGTTTTTTTTCAAGCAAAGTCCAAAAACGATACTAACATTCACGTTAGATTAATGATCGACTTCAACCCCCATTCGCTTTTTTTTCCATGCATGTAGCTTTTTATGAAAACATTAATGTCCTTTCAAATTATATTTCATTATTTCTTATCCCTTTCGTTATGCGCGGACATTGTTTTTAAAAAGAGCTATTCTTAACACTAATAGCAGTTAAGACGTTCTCCAATACTGTTAGCTGTGTGTGGCGGTCGTCACTTCTCAGTTTCCCATGTCGTGAAAAGATACTTTCTCTTGAAGTACCTAAAAAGGTGACTAGATTAGCAGTAATCTTGGCAACCTGTAAGCGTGATCGCTGTGTCCAATGGACAACTGTTTAAAGCCAATCACATAATTTTTTTAACGAGAAATTTGTACTGTGTTAGTTTGTACTTTCAAGGCTTTACCTCTGGCGATACCAGTCTGTAAGCGGAGATAAGGTGTGATGGACGAGTCATTCCTGTTATTGGAAAGCAGCATCACTGAAGATGCTGGTTGTCTTAGGGAACACTTTACCATCACCACACCTCAGTACAGTCTGCACAACCACTTCAGACCTTAGGTCTTACTGTTCCCCACTTGATCAATCTGGCTTGTTAGAATTAAGGACCATGTGTTTCAGCCAGTATACTCCAATTGGGTTACCACAGTATGCAACTCCAGCCACCACAATCGTCTGTCAATTAGAACGCATTGAGTAGCTATGTCGTCCTAATTCACTAGTAATCTTGATATGGTTTCATGCTGCATTTGTAATTCTTTTTAAAACACTCGATCAGAATTACGTCCAAACTATCAATACATTCAGCTCGTTTGTTTAACTTCGATCATAATATAGCGCATTCAGTGAGTCACTGTACTATTTTCAACATGGTTAACTCTATAGATTACTGATCTTACTAAAATTTTTGCGAATACCATCTCAGTACATGTGATTATTATGTAGTGGTCTAATTTTTTGTGGAGATTATGGGGCGATATCGACAGTTCTTCAGAAAAGCCCTTGGAAATTGAAAGAAAATGCTGAAACTACTTTGTCTAACCAGCGCTTCTTAGGAACTTCTAAGCGAATTCTAGAGAACGAGGGATTATATCGCCGTTTTCTGATGGGACATTTGCCGTTTCTGTTTTTAATTTTAGCACATTTTCCAGAAACTTCTAGAATCTCTAGGTTATATGTGACACCCTTTTGTTTTCTGTTTGGTGTTCAGGAGTGGAAAATTTCTGGGTATTTAGGAAGTCGATGTTCAAATGTTCAATTACAGAGATTATTATGTGCTTATATCGCTAATCGAATGAGCCCGATCAATCAAAAACCACTAAAATAAACATTAAAAATGAGAAAACTACGAGCTAAAACACACACACACACATGCTACATCTAGTTTTCTACATATATATTCCGTGGGGAAAATGTTTATGCTTGAATAATAAATGAATCATCAATAGTATTACTCATTTACTCCAAGTACATATTAATTTACCCATGTTTGAGCCATATTGTTTTTTATATACGAGCTAATAATCTTAGTACCCAGTTGGCAAAGTTTAAATAGATTATGTGAAATGGATGCTCGAACCTATGATACATAGTTTTTAATAGGAGAGATGAATTATAACTAATAGTAGAGAATCTAGAATGCATGTTTCGTCCTATTTGGGACATGTCAGCTGTAATGCATCTGTTACATCTCAATGTTGTTAATATCCATACCTAGACTAGAGCTGAGAGTAACTTTTCACTTTAAACATCTATATTATCCGTTGAACTATTAAGTTCAAATAGTCACCAACTTCTGTAACGTTTATGAATTTAATTTACACAACAACAGTTTAAATCACTCATAGGTTTTTCACACTCTTTAAATGTGTATAATGTTTACATACAATAAGGATTTTCGTCTTTGAATATTTTCTTCTTCAATAAAGTTTTCAAATAAAACATTAAGTCATATCATATATCTACTCTAATTTATTTTTGTATACAATCAACAATATAGAACGTTTACGTTTAACAACAAAACCTCAAGATGTACTAATTAATCATTTCGGTGAAAGTGTTCAATTCAAATGTACAAGTTCAAATGAACAAATTCTACCATATTGGTTATTTAATGGACAACCAAAAATTACAGGAATTGGAAAAAGTATGTTTCTTTTTTATATATTTGTAAAATCTATTTTTACAAGCGAATCCAAGTAGTCTGCATCCGTTAATATATTTGACATTAACAATCAATGATGATGCTTTGTCTAGCTTCATTCCAACCTATCTCTATGCTAGTTAGCATTATACGTCTAATTAGACAGTACTTATATGATATATGTTTCAACGGTTTTTGGTTAATAAAGATTTATATCCTTATCAATTGATTTCTCATATGTATATCTACTCGGTTGGAAGAAAGTTAGGGGCGGCCAAACCAAAACGTGGCATCAGTGCTTGAAGTCACTAACTTCTGGTCTGAACTATTTTAGTAGATGCACACCACTTGATTGGGGCTCGCGCGACTATCTATCGTAACCAAGGTTTGGAAACTCTGGGTGACATGACTCACAATCGGTCACAATGGCGTAGGTGTATACACTCTTTGTCTCCCCTTAAACCATGAGATTAAAATTACTTAATTAATTCGGTGTTCATCTTGTTGTGCTAATGAGGTGTGACAACTTGGACTGATGCATAAATCTGCCTAGTTCTACGTTGTAGCTAACTTATGTACCCACTCGACATGTTAATGAAAGTCGGAAGCATTTATGAACATTCTTGTAGAAATATAATTATCACCAACCTAATTGTTTGATAACTTTGTCATGAAACAAATCTTTTGAGATCCTATACTATAATATTGCGTAGTTTTTCATAAGAGCCACTCAAACTGTTGTAGGTGGAGCAAGATTCAAACTTGCAACTTAGTGGAAAGTTGAAGTTTTACGTTTTCATCATAATAAAAACAACTAATTGTTATAAATACGTAAACGTCCCCACTTTCCCCAACCACTTACTTACCATCCAACTTGCTTACAGTCAAAGGCTTTAATCGATAAATTTACATTGTCATTGTTGGTTATTACACTGTATACTTCAGAGAAATTACCATGTACTAAAATTTTTTTGATATAGCAATATTTTCAAATGTATTACTGGTAAATTCATGAGATCTTCGTATATCTATGTTTTATGTTATGAAGAATTACCAGTTGTCATAATCTCGTTATTGAAGTATTTTTTTAAATATGGATCCTAACGCAATGCATTCATCTATAATTGTGTGAATCTTTTGATCTGCTGTTTGTGTGTGTGTGTGTATGCTTCTGTTCAGTAATTTTCTGCGCGTTGGTGAAATACAGAATTCTCGGTATTGTGTTATAGAGACTGTTGAATTCCATTGAACTGATGAACCGATCTAAATTAGGCCATCATTGAAAACATGTGAGCGCTTGACGGCATTTCCGTCCGAGTTTTGGGCTGCTCACCAGTGAGCATCCGCAAATTCGCCACTTGGAATCAAACCCATATCCATCAGTCCCGCCGGCGAACGCTTAACCTCTAGATCAATAAACCCGATATTCAATAGTGTACAAGTCTAACTTCAATCAATCCCAAGATATTGTGAACTCATAGATCCCCACTACTGAAGAATCTTATACTATGCTGAAATGATCATAAAGTGCTTCTACGTTTTCAATGATTGTCTAAATTAAATCGATTCATAATTTCGATGGAATTTTCTTTTCTGTTTTCTTTGCCTAAATCCACTTTCATTGATTTATCTCCTTTTAACTACATCTAACCTGTGCTTCAGTTTGATATAGTTCTCTACCTACTACTACTATTATCATTATTATCCTTTCTTATCACAACTATTTGTTCTATAAAATAGTATTTTGTATCAAGACAAATTTCATTGTGGATTATATGTGTACATATTATTTCATAGAATAAATATTCACAGTGTGTTCAATAATTATTTTGTTATATATATCTCTCTCAAATAAACAATTTTCCCCCTTCAATATCTAACATTGAAATCAATCATAATTGACAGGTAAGTAAGTGGTGAATTAATTTATCAACCTTACAGTACAAAATAGTGTTCAATGTATATATATATGTCACAGAGAGAGGAACTTGGAGTTTAAAGAGTGACATTATATAAACAGTTTGATAGTTAGAAATTTGTAAAGTAACTAATCTTTATCTAAATAACAGTACTCTGTCATAATAATAATAAGGAGAAGAAGAAGAAGAAGAAGAAGAAGAAGAAGAAGAAGAAGAAGAAGAAGAAGAAGAAGAAGAAGAAAGTGTATTGAAATGAATCGGACCAATTCTTTCTATTGTTATTATTCTCACATGATTTCTCTCTCTTTCTTTCATAGATTATAAAACAATTCATGAACTGTTTGTAATTTTTTTTTATTTGAACACATAAACATTGGTACAAGGGGGCACCATACAATGACAATGAGGCTAGTACCAGTTATCATTGATTTTTGTGAGGGCTGTGATATTGCCCGAGTGCCCAAACCTAAGCAGGTGGTTTTAAGGGGCAACACCACGAGCCTTTGACCTGAAGGTCTAATCCACAATACAGTAGAGCAGCTTTAGGAGTTGCAGTCCCATGGTTACCAGTGGTCAACAATAGGTTCATACACTTTTGGTCCATGTGCACCATAGGTTTGGAATCAGGGTATTATAACTCCCCTAAATGGGTCCTCGTTATTCCATCAAATCAGTTTGCGTACAGGACATTCTCTTTTCTTCCCCTCAATTTCGTAAACAACACTCTCTTAGAGGGAAGGCAGTGAGTAGGACTTCTCCGTCAGTGGCTGTATACGCGTGGGCATGTGATAATATCATGTGAAGAGGAAGAGCGAACTCTCTCCACCCTTGGTCGTACCAAGGCATTTGGGGTGGAGTAGTGTGCGTTGGTATTAGTTCGATTGATTTAAAGTATTCAATTTTTAACGACGATTCTTGTTATAAAATATCTCTGTCCCAGTGCCAAGTCAGAGCATATTTCGAAAGAATAGAGAAGTTCAGCGATGAAAATTTTCTTTTCGACGATTTCATTTACCTAAATTGTACAATCGTATTTTATAGTCAATTTAACTTGCTAGCTGACTATTTTGTTGCTAATCCCGAAATCGTTATACTTAGACCAATAATTGATGCTTAGACGACACTTTCATTATTTGTGACAAAAATATGAATGTCAACGACATTAATTAAATTGCTGGAGACACTCAATCATCATCATCTACAGTAATACAGATTCATGGTTGATATTTAAAGTAGGTAAGAAATGAATTTCGGGTAGCTAAATTAGAACAGAACATCAGATCATCCAACTATTGCCTACTGAACTTAGTTATATGAAGGATATACAAAATTCCTGGACAAAATGAGTGGTATAATTGTGTTGACTTATTCGGACTCAGTAGCTGAGTGGATAATTTGTTATAGGTTCAAATTGAAAGAGGGTACACTAGGTTTATAGTCCCAAATGTAGTGATCAACATTGCGGGAAGGGGCAAACTAGATAAAATGCATGTTCTGTATTTCACTGCTATCCATTATCCAACTGTTGTAACGTGTCCTGTAAATTGTTTACAGAATAATTGGCTCATACATTTTTTACTATCGGATTGATTGACTGACTGACCTTAATTAATCTAATCATATTAATGATATAACCAAATCAGTGTTATTGTTTGTTTGTGGTTGTTTAAATTTAAATATGTATGCAATTTTTATTGTATACATGGGTTTATACCGGATTCCGTTATTTATTAACAGATTTTACGTATCAGTTTAGGGTTATGGCGATTGTTGAGTTTTGATTGAGATCATGAATTGACCGATGTTAGACCACCATTGAAAACCTGGAGGCACTGGACTGTCGTTTCGTCCTAGTAAGGGACTCGTCAGTAGTGCACATTCACGATCCTGCACATGGGATTCGGACTCGGGACCCTCAACCTCATGCGCGGACACTTAACCTTGTATGTTTTTTTCTCTCTAAATGTTTTTCTCTTCATTTTTTCAGTAAAATTTCCTCCTTAACATTTTGTTCAGATGGATCAATGTTATGTTTCCTTTTTTTATTTTTCCCTGACTGTTCATTTGATTTATCAGCAAAACAACTATTCTGTCTACGATTTAGGCACTTCCTTGTTTTTGTTATACCGCTTGTCTTTCTTTTTTTGGTTGATTATTCCTTTCGTATTTTATACCGACTGTTTAATCAGTTATGTTCTTCTTAATCCATTTGTCTACCGTTTCATAATGATTAATGTATGTATTATACATGTGTGTGTATATTAATGCTAAGATGGCGCGTATAGTTTTTTTAGCGTTGTGTGCACTTTTTCTATACAACAAGTTATTCTTATCAGAATTGGTTTTTGCTGTCTATGAGAATATTTATTTGTTGATATGAATGGAGTTTTATACGTGTTTTGTTGTGTATGTATGTTTGTATAAGTATTCAACTGTTTGAATGTCCTTTCCCTTGCTCCCTGTTACTATCCAAAGTAATCCAATTTGAGAGCTTAGGACGCATAGAGTAGTAATAATAATGATGATGATAATAATAATAATACTTTAATACATTGAATAACATTTGTGTTTCATAATTGACACATGTTTGTACTGACTTAGTTACACACACTTTTTTTAGTATCTTGATTGCTTCGATAATTTTCTTGCCCTTCCAAAATGACTGTAGAATGTTATTCATAAACGTTTTTGAAATTGGTTTCCATCACTAACAAAAGGGTAATATCTATAAAAGAAAAGACTTCTCAATGAGTAAATGACATTTAAGCACAATGCAAAATAAAGTACTAACTCTGAAAATGTTGATATTAAATGATTAATTCTTTTTTTTCTTCAACGCCATATCCTAATTCCTCACTTGCTAGTGAATGATACTTGGCTGAATTAATTAACACCAAGTCAGTAAGTCAAGGCTTGAATCTGCTATCATTCAGTATATATGGTTGAATTCTGAACTGCTTCTTAAAGTACATTTGTTTTATTAAAAGACCTTCCGAAATCAATCTCATTTTAACAAAAATACTACTAACTTACCTAGTTTTACTATCAAAAAATCTCAAAATGTATTCATCCATGGTTTGGGATACCTGGACGTGATCATCAATCCATACAGGACTCTAATCAACTGTACAGACTTCACATGTTTAAAACAATCTGAACTTATCTATGACAACTTATGTGATGCCTGAAATCTAAAAAAAACACATCTCAATATCCCTATCAATAATATTCGTGTTTGATTCCCAGTGATTTGAAAATTACACATTCGCATACTTATTTATTACTTATTTAAACACATAAATATTGCTACGTACGTGGCACCAAAATGTTTATGTTCCACACATTTAGAAAATGAGATTTTAAAGAGATAGGGAAATGAACGTGAGTATATAATAAGAAAAAGAAAAATGAGTTGAAATTAGTATGAAAGTAAAAAATGTAATCGGATCTGTTCACTTAAGATAAATACAACCGGAAAGGATTCTTTCAGCTAGATACGTTTGTGAAGTACCAACAGATTCCAGTTTTATATATCTCTTTCTTTCATACCATTACACCATGTCATATACTGTTAACTTCCTGAATTTCACTGCCAGCCATATCTCATGTATTCTACACTAATATGTCTCATAATTCTTTATATCACGGCGATATCCACATTCCAGCCAAAACTGATCAAATTTTGGTGAAAATATCAACAATAAAATAATGCAACTTACCACAAATTAAATTAAAATCGTAACATTGCATCATATGCCTACTCCCCCCCTCAACCTGGATTCACGGTGTTTGCTGTTGTAGGTTGGAAGAGACCGAGCTGTGATCAATCCAAGCGATAGCTTTTGTCCCTGAAGTCATTGACATTTGACCTGATTCGTGTTGCTAGGCGCGGATTGTCGACTTGAGATCCACACGATTATCATGACTTAATTCAGGATCTCACTCAATAGCTAAAATGAATCCACTTTTCGTCTTCCCCTAGATTATTAGTTTCGCACATATCTTATACTTTATAATTTCACAAATTCATACTTTCATCGCGAATTATATTGTCAATGCTTAGTGTTTTCTACTAACAATGATACTGTAGTGAACACGAACACGAGTGGGGACAATCGGCTGTATTTGACACGAAATTACAGAGGATCTCGATAAAATCTGAGAACCATATTGTAAATGGTTAATTTACAAAATATCAGTCCATTGTCTCAGATTTGATCGTTCATGCATTTCCATACTAATTGCGTTTCGTCCCCGTTCTTTCCTTCTCGATCTTCTACTGACATACATTCTATACCTGATCACCGTTATATACTACTTATGTGGATATAAGTAACCCACACCACAATACTATTACTATTTCTACAACTCTGACATTTTACTGTGCTCATACAGCGTGATAACATTAATCGACACGCATATATATATACCGAGTTTTACATTATTTATGATTAACTTACTGTTCATAAATTGTTATCATTACATAAAATAAATTACCTTGATTTAACGTATGATGTCTATTAGGCAACCTCAACCGATGTCCATACATACCAGGTTCTATGTCGTGACTGACTGAACGTATTATCTCCTGTAGAACATTTTATTGTCAACTCAATTTTTTTCCTATATGTACGTACATATATATGTATTTATATAAATATATACAATCTTCTAAGGTGCCTACACTAAAATTCATGGTAATCGTAAGTTCACTAAATAGATATAAATAAATTGATCAATGCCATTTTCATTCAGTTTATTACTTATTTCAAGAAAAAAGAGAGAACATTCTGATTAGTTCTTGTTTGATCTGCATGGATGATTATTGATTGAGTGTAAAAGAAGAATTGTCTTGTCTCGAATACAATGTATACATTTCAGTTTTTTCTCTCTTCTGTTTGATCTCTCTTTCTTTCTACATATAATTCTGTTTTCAATGCCTTTTATTGATAAATTTTGAAAAAAAGAAATCAAGTTTCTTTTTAGATTTTCACTTCATGAATGCCATCTATATGTGTGTAATACTTTCCATACAACCTTTTTGATTCATGGATAGGTCATGTTTATTCATCGATTATACTAATGTAATTGTATTGTGCATTGTCTATCGATGGAATTACTACTAACACTAATCGTTTTTATGTTTCATGCATGTCTTTTTGGAACCATTCTTCTTTTTTTTTTAATTCCAATCTTTGAAGAGTAAGAAATATATGCATGTTTCCTACTATAAAGCCAATGAATTGAAATCGTCTCTCTATCGGAAAAGGGACTTCTAAAATTTCTTGAATTAAACCTTTTTTGAATGTGAGTAGATGAAAACTCAGATGATTAGTATACTTTGTGCCATTTCATATATGAACCAATAGTTTTTAGTGACCGACTGGTCTGACTCCGATTTGGATGAACAAGTGAATATATCATGAATGTAAATCTTTCATTTCGTATTTTACCTAGGCTAACTCTATTTGTGCGACAGCGGTAACACGAAGCCTAATGCAGTTTGAGTTGAGTGAATTCATTTCAGGCACACGTTAATTCAGATAGATATTAAGAATAAGAAGCGGGAAACGAAACGAAACAAAGCGGAGAAAGCAAGCTTGACTTAAGATTTGTAACCAGACAAAAATAAGCTGGAGACATATGATAAATAAGGTAAACGATACGCACACATGCTTCCATAAAAAATAATCAAGGTTATAAGCAAACAATCGACAAGGTCAATATATGGCTGAAGAAAATTAAATTAATTGGTCTATTCTAAAGCCAGAATAACCCATGTGTGTTTGACACTACAAGTTGTCCATCTAAGTCAGTAAAAGTTAGTTACGCGATGTCGCGATCTGATTGAAGTTAGACATATACAACGTCGATTCTGGACTAGGTGTTCTTCGGGTAAGTGATGGTCCTTAGTCTGACTTCTTGTTGTGATGGTCGTCGAAGCTCTGGGAAAAAACATGTTCAGTATTTTCTGGTTTTTAATGGATGTTGAACTTGTGTAGATTTATAATACTAATGACAGTCATAAACTAGGCTAACATTCTTTACTTATCTGCTCTTTGTAATAACCGACATGCATTGTATTCCAGTACTGAAGTTACCAAGTAGTATATTTCGATTAATCACTAATTTTTTAAAAAACTTACTTGCTTTATTCAATTTGAAATGTGATCAGTTGAAAAATATGAACAACAGGATTATCCAAACCATTTCAGATTAAATTACTGCTTATACCCGTTGTACAAGTGAATGGCTATCTGGATTCATTAGCTAAGTGGACAACATTATGTTGTTTAAAAAAAACGGTACTGGGTCCCAGTCTCGGAGTAGACATCAGCTCACTCCAAGTTGCAGGTACTTCCAACTGACACATCCTAAATTCCACTACTAGCTACATTCCATCTATTCTATAATTAGCTGATGTTACTTCCCGTAATAAGAATTCTAATCCAAATTTATGTGATATGTGATTTCCAATATCTAGTTAGTACATGAACCTTTTTTTGTGTAAGTATTAATGGACTTTAACTCCAATCAATCATTCATCAACACTATACCAGTCAAATTCACTAATATTTATGTTTCACTTAAATTAATTGTCTTATCACTGTATATTTCTCATTCAATACACGCTAAATAACATTCGTAAATCACTCGTAAATAATCCTATTTGCCTCCAATTGTACGTCTTAACTCAATAAACCTTGTGATTATTTTGTAACTTTTTCCCATAATATTCTGTTTGTTTGTTTTCTTTTCTTGGCACATCATAAATTCGTAACTACTGTTCAGTAATCTGACAATATTGATTATTAATATTGTACTTTAGATTAGCATATTTATGATTAGATTGCATAATTTGACGTTTATTATTATTATTATTATTATTATTATTATTATTATTATTATTATTATTATTCATTGGACATCATTTATGCTGTCTGAATAATGTCTTAAAAGCCTAATGTATGTGTTTATAAACAAAGCGATTCTGTTAAATAAACGTAGGTGGACAGCAAAGATTTTCACATAGACAATATTTAACATAGAAATAATATTACATTAGCGAACTTATGAATACATAATACAGTGGCTAGATTGATATTTAGTGGGACACAATTCATTTACTTGGTACATTTATGTTAACCCCTATGGTTGATCACCCCCTGTTACGGTCGATGGTGAGAAGAGTACGCTCTCCCTCGTGAAACGCTCTCACATCGCCACGAGTATACAGTCACTGACAGGGAAGTCTTACTTACTGTCTTCTCGTGAAAGAAGTGTAGTTTACGAAATTAAGAGGATGAAAAGCGAACGTCCAGCACGCGAATCGAGTTGGTTGATACGGAGGACCCATTTGGGGAGGTTGAAAAACCCTGATTTCAAACCGATGGTTCACATGAGCTCCAGTATCTTGGAGGAACAAATGGCGCTTGAACCAATCGTTGGTCACCGGCTACCAGGGGACTGCAACTCCGTAATCTTGCTCTACTGCCTTATGGATCAAACATTTAGGTCGAAGGCTCCGTGTGTGGCCTTCTAAGAAAACCAACTGCTTCAGTTTGGGCATCCGCACAGTATTCTAGCCCTCACATAAATCAAACGATTTATGTAGCGCACATATATATGGTGCATCCTTGTACCAGTGTTTATGTGTTTAAATAATTAATAAATAAATGGTTGTTTGCCTATGTTCCAGCGGAACTTTTAATAATTCTGTCATTACGAAAATGATGGTCGATAATGGTAGTCATTGTATTAAGATTAAGTAAATTGTAACTGAATTTTTTCCACTTTTAAATTTTTCATAATTTATTAACATCATGTGACAACTTGTTATAAGTTTTCTTTAACACATAGAAATCGATAGTGAATACATGGAATCCATGACTCGGATTTCATCCTATTTTGAACTTATTCATCAACTAAATGCAACTTTATCGCAGCCTAGTGTTAACGTTCATATTGAGACCTGAACCTGACTCTTTTCGATCCAAACCCCAATGCTAAGCTATTATCAAGTCGAGGTACATACTAATTTGTACAACGGGTATGAATTTCATATGTGTTAAGAACGTGTATGTTCACTTCGTTAATGTTAAGCACTTTTCATGGAGTGCACTTATGCCAGTAGAAGCTAATCCTTTACAATCACGGAAAAAACCTAAACTATGTCTTGAATGATAAGCAAAGATGGATAGTGGCTAGCAGTGGAATCCAGGACGCGCGTTTCGTCCTGTTTGGGACTCGTCAGCTGGATGTACAGTATGCACACATGCCAATAAGAGACTGATCAATTTCAGTCCTAAAACATCAATGGGAAGATTCAAGTAAAACAATAGCAAGTGAATTATGTCTTGAATGTTTGTATTTTTTCCATTTTTTAAATCCACTATAATGTGATGTTAGCTGGTTGATAGTAGTCGACAGAAAACAGTACTTGACCTGTTGAATTGTTGCAAAGTATTGCTTAGAAAACTTCATAGGAACCCCAAAAGAATCTCTGGAAACATTTTATCAAGTCAACAGTGAATAGAAACACATGGCTCAGAGTCGATCACAGTGGCGTCGGTGTATACACTCCCTGTCTTCCGTTAAACTAAGAGATTAAAATCGCTTCATATCTTTCTTTCTACGAACCAATTCTTTCTTCTTGTACTATATCTCTATATGCAATCTTTCTCTTATATATTACCACCTTTGACCTAACCACTGCTATGAATCCGGTGTTCATCTTGTTGTGCTGATGCGGTATGGCAACTTGGACCGATGCACATATGTGCCTGGTCCTACGTTGTAGCTGACTGACTGACTGAGAAACACCTAAAAAGCGAATAATTATGTGTCACTTTTCTGATTGTATAGTTATTCATACCGCTGCTAGAAAATTCTAGTAGCCCAAGGTTGTCTGTTATACCGTAAATACTCTCATTTTTCTGTACATAAACTAACCTGGAAGTAAAACGTTCCTTCCTCACTTCACGCCATTTTTCTTGTGTTCAAGTTTCAGTTTAGATTTAGCCTGGGATTATTAGAAACGTCTAGGAAAGTGATTCTAACGTTCAGTTAAAAGACATCAGACCTAGGTTTTGTTCAACTTGACAATTGGTCGACAAGACGTACCTACAATCTTGAGGGGACTCATGGTTATTGCTGTATTTAAACCCGCGTCACTCAGTTTTGTAGTCTGTAACGTTACTTCTTGATATGCTTGGATCGTCATGTTTTACGAATCATTAACTTATCATAAATTTGAAGTTTAACATTAATGATGTAATCTCATTGGGTACTTTAAGTGTACTATCGGGGTAACTAGTAACGTTTGTTTTTGGAAGCCAGTCAGTCAGCTACAACGTAGGACCAGGCACATATGTGCATCGGTCCAAGTTGCCATACCGCATCAGCACAACAAGATGAACACCGGATTCATAGCAGTGGTTAGGTCAAAGGTGGTAATATATAAGAGAAAGATTGCATATAGAGATATAGTACAAGAAGAAAGAATTGGTTCGTAGAAAGAAAGATATGAAGCGATTTTAATCTCTTAGTTTAACGGAAGACAGGGAGTGTATACACCGACGCCATTGTGATCGATTCTGAGCCATGTCACCAAGAGTCTCCAACCATTGGTTACGATAGTCACGCGGACCCCAACCAAGTAGCCAGTTACATTGAAATATCTAGGACTGGGCGTTACATTATCAAATTTTTCAGTCCATAAGCATCTTTTTTAACAACGTCTTCAGTAGTTCTTATTTAGAAAATGATAAGGAGATTCTGACATGTATGGATCAGTGATTTTGTAACATAGGCTACAACTATTTTCCAACCCCACACTCAAAGTTTGTTCTTGCCTTTCTACAATAGTATTTGCAGTTATCCGTCAATAGATGTAATGTATAAAACAAATGTATGCAACTGATTTCCACTGTTTGTGTGTGTACGTACATATATCTGATTGTATTTGCTTGCTTCGTCTTGATTTCATCTTTTTTTGTTCTGTATGCATAAAGACTACTCATTTCATGATATACTATATACTTATATATAATTGGATTATCCTGACAAGTCATGCTTATCTAAATTAATTGTTCTCTTCTCTTCGTTTCGTCTTTGTTTTTCATCATTCCTATCTTTTTTTGTATTTAGATAATACACTAACGATAACTAATGTTACTGTACAGGATATAGGAGTTTATCAATGTGTTGCACATCGATGGGATCCTGATCCAGATCTAGAAGAATGGGTATCAGCATCAGCTGTACTAGCAATGAGTTCTGATAAACTTATTCGTACACGTAAGTTAGATCATTTAGCTTTTGTTATTAGCAGAGATAAATAGTGGTTAGCAGTGAAATTCAGAACCTGCGTGTCGTTCTATTTGAGGCTCGTCAGCTGGACTTATCTGCATTCTAGAGTGAGCTGATGTTCACTCTGAGACTTCAGCTCAGTATATATTTTTTTGCTTCAGACTCCATCGCGTTACCCGGAATGAACTCTGGTATCCAGGTTCATTTAGCTGACGAATCCTTAATAGGATGAAACGCACATCCTAGACTTTACTGCTAGCTACCATTCATCTCTGCCTATGAAATGTTTGTGACTTAATGCCAATATCGAGACGATTCGCGCAAGATATGTCTAAAAAAAGGCTGATCGATTTCAGTTCTAAATATCAGTGGGGAGATCCAAACAATTAATACAAATGTCTATTCTGTTGCTGCTTCAGACATTTACTTTAGGCTAAAGTGGTTATTTGTTATACATACATATATAATTGTACACAAGTGTGTGTGTGTGTGTGTGCAATTATTCATTTACATGAGTGAACATGATTTCTATTTACCTAAACAATTTATCCCATCCACACATTGTTTTCTCCATAAGTCAGTTTATCCATCGTGTTGTAAATGTTTAAGTAGTATGTTATATCCAGCGCTTTCAACCGATTATCCGTTCATTTAGTGAGTGATCGCTGCCTAATAATATGTAGTTCTCACTAGACATTTCATTCCAAGTTTCTACTGCTATTCGCAACTATAAAGTGTGAAGATGTTAGTGTGGCACAGAGCATTATGCTGGATACATAACATAAATATTTTGTAAGATTAAACTTGAAATAAAATCTCTATTGAAAATTGCACTTTAAGGGGCAATAATTGTTCATTAAATAGGTAGAAAAATAGCCGAAATGACTAGATATAAAATATTACTTGAACTGTGAGAATGTGATAGAAAACTTCAATAATATTGGAAAAAAGTTGTGCAACTGAGATCACTTTAAAGAGGAAGAATGTATTTGTAAAATCTCAGCAAAAGAATTTGAAGTAAATCCAACATTTCGCCTGGCAATCTGGTCCAAGCTTTTTCAAGGATGACTTTAGTTGCACCAAATTATGTTTATCCTTACAAATGAAAAATATTTATTGAGATCATGAACCAATCAATTTTGGATCACCATCAAAAACCTGGAAACATAGGACGGCCATTATGTTCTATCGTGGAATTCTTCAGCAATGCTCATCCACGAACCCGCGTGTGGGACTTGGACAAAAAACCCGCGGTCTCGAGAGAACGCATAACTGCTAGACCTATGAGCCGGGGTCGCACAATATTAGTCTCTGACTTCAACCAATCTACGATATTGCATTCCTATCTTGGTTGAAGTTAAACATTAACTCCATTGGATCCTGGCTAAATGGTCTAGATGCAGGAGGTTTGTATACGAGACCGAAGCTCCTGGGTTCGAGTCCCGCGTGAGGTATCGTGGATGCACACTGCTGAGTAGTTCCTTGCTAGGACGAAATGGCTGTCCAGTGTTTCCAGGTTTTTAATGATGGTCAAACATTGATCGGTTCGTGATCTCGATAAAAGCTCAACAGTCCCCTCAATCGTATACTGAAGAATTCGTAATCACATACAGATACATACTTTTTTGTGCCTACAATATATATATATATATATATATATATATATATATATATATATATATATCCACATTCAAATTACGCTGTTCCGTGACTATCTATCGCTAGATGAATTGTTGATTATAACTAGTGTTCAGCCTGGATTAACTAATAGCTAGTGATAACAACGTAAATTAAAATGTCATTTCTCTCTGTGTTTTTCTCCCACACCCACTTGTTTGGTAAATTGATTTTCGTTTTTGTTTTTCTTACAAATATTTACACATTTTCTTATTCATTTTGTTTCATGTTAAATATATATTTTTTTTAATTAGCTCAAGAATTAGCCTTATTATTGCCAACATCGAAACAAGCAATCATGGAGGTGAAACCACCAGGTAATATTTTCAATGAAATAAATCATTCATATTTGTTAAAGTTTAATCACACGTTGTCGTGAATTATCTGTAGTTGTTTATACATATATTAGGTGGTTGGATGAAGTGAACAGTAGACTCTGAACGTAAGTTTCATTCTAGCTGGTGCTCATCACTAATGTGTACCTGTAACTGTGAAAGAGAGCTCATGCTTCCTATAGGATTCAGATAAGTCATCCTTACAGTTTAAATCGTGAACTGATCTTATATAGATCCCTATTAAAAACCTGGAAGCACTAAACAGCCATTTTGTCGTAGTATGGAAATTCTCAGTGGTCAGTTGACATCCAGGATTCGAACTCAGCACATTCCGTCACGCAAATGGACAGTTAACTTCTAGTCCACTGAGTTTGAATCCAACGATATTAATTTTTAACTCAATATTCCCTGTTTGAAGCGGTTATTGACCGAACTAGAGCGAATATTGATAAAAGTGGTATAATTGTACTGCTTGTGGGTTGACTAAATAACTGCAGTAATATTTCTCACTTCTTAGATAGAAAACAGTTTAAACATAAAGCTTTATGTTTTATTCTTACCTAAACAATCATGAAACATTACTAGTGAGCTACTCAGGCTATAATTGTCACGAATTCTAATCCCATAGTGGAAAGCATCAGTCCAGACCTCTCAAGTTTGCAGATGTTTATAACCTTAATGATGAATCTCAACACCAACAAGTAATCTATATCCAGATTGTCTTCTCGATTAGGATAGTTTAATACTGACCAATTATCTAAATGTTGTGTATTGTTTGCTACTATGTTAAAATTTGACGTTATTTACAGTTAGCTCAATTATATAATTTCATAAATCTACTTTGTCCATGCATTGTTAGAAGGCTATTTTTTGTGTCTAGATTACTATTTCTTCTTAATATTCTATTACATTGTTTCTTTTGTAATGTAATTCGAATTCGAGATAATAATGCACACTAGTACGTTTCTATGCAACAGGTGTTTTTTTTATGAACGTAGATACAGACATATATGTATATATAGCGTATTTCAATGAAACATTCCATTGAATATTCATTATTTCTTGTTTCATTATATTCATACATCTGTTTAATATGGATAGTATAATTGGATTTGGCATAAAATGTGTAAAAAAAACTTTCTTTATTTGTAAGCAAACTAAATGTTGTGCAAGTTTCTTCCTGGGAGGGGGGTGCGTTTAAACTACAATAACATATATTCACAGAAGACATGTATAGAGATATCTTAAGATTATCGAGATGAAATCATTAATGGAGAATACAATTTTATATTCCATGTTGACACATTCAATAAACAGGAAATTTCTCGAGATTCCTAGTTTTTTGTTTACAATTTTATTGAATATTGATGAAAGGATGGTTATACTTAAACAGTTCATTCATATTAATCATTTAAATTAGTTGTAGTGAACGAGAACTCAGGCGGAACATACCCTGCCCTGGTATGGCCGAGAGTGGGGTGGGCCCGCCCTCCCTCTCGAAGTGCTCTCGCACGGCCACGCGTATACAGCCTCTGCCAGGGAAGTCCTACTCACTGCCTTCTCGTGGCGGGGGCATTGTTTACGAAAATGAGAGGACGACGCTTTTGTCGGACCCCAAACCAATGGTCCACATGGGCTCCAGTATCCTGAAGGAACAAATGGCATATGAACCAATCGTCGGTCATCGGCTGCCATGGGACTGCATCTTCTCACGATGCTCCACTGCCTTGTGTGGGTCAGATCTTTAGGTCAAAGGCTCCGAGTGTTGTCCCCTAAGAAAACCCACTGCTTCGGTTGGGCACCCGGGCAGTATCACAGCCCTCACACATATCAAATGAGATTTGTGTGGGGCATATCTAATGGATGCCTCGTTGTACCAATATCTATGTGTTCAAATAAATAAAAAATAAGAACTCAGATGGGGACAACCAATTTGTTATTTGATACGAAATTACAGAACTCTATACATTAAATGCTTAATTTGCAAATCTTCCATCAATTGTCCTTTACATTCTGTTTGATTCTTTCAATTCACAATTTTTTTCTATTTCCCTTCCTGTTTTTTTTCAACTCAACCTTCTGTTGTCAAACGTTCCACTTCTGATTGGTGTTACATACTACTTATATCTGTCGGCATATGTAGCATACACATAGTTATTAATCAAATTACAGTGAATATTAAGAAAGGATTTCATATCTGGACTGATTAAATAACTGTGTAGTAACATTTCTCATTTCTAAACATAAAACTTCTCATGGGATACAGTATAACATGTTATCATCAAGCGTCTTTCAATGTCAAAGATCTACAATGTACATCTTGATCATTACTCAACAGCTTATCATTATTATTATGATTCTCTGTCTCACTATTATATGATTTGTCTCAACCAATCCTCTTATATTAACTGTATACATCACATTGTGATCTTTGACGAATTAATATTGAAGTTGTTAGTTGTCACATCTCACTCTACTCTTCATCGTCAATCAGTAACTAGTCAATTAGTCGTAGACTACAATTATTATGTCGGTCCGCATTAACTTATCAGTATGAACAACAACTGGGTAAAGTACAAACATAAATCAATTGCTATGAGGTCAATAAATGGGTGATGTATTACTACTTCATAACACAAAGTTTAAAGCTTAAATGAGAAGAAAAAAATGGATGTCACAACTTTAGGTCATTTGTTTTAACCATAATACATCAACTCTAGGATATAGTGATTATCTTGTGAACTTGCATGCAATGTTGTATATGTGTCTACACCACCATCTGGATTACCATGATTCTAACCAACTTTGTCAATTTGTTGCTCGCGTAATTGATTGAAGTTAGACATGTACATCATTAAATTCTTGGTTCACTTGTCTGAAGGTTGAGCATTTACACATGAACCCGAACATCCTATGTTTGATTACTTGTAGCGGGGTCCCATACTAGGACGAAACAGCTATCTAGTGCTTCCAGGTTTTCAATAGTTGTCTAGATTAGAACAGTTCGTGATCACAATAAAACTTGTTTATAATTCGCCCACCCACTAAATAGAATGATTCTTACAATAAAATAAGTTTTTTTTTCTGGCTGTTAGTCATTTTACTTACATATCTCCATGTTTATTTGTAAATTTCACAAGTTTTTGCGTGCTTTTTCACTCGAAAATAAAGAGAGATATGACTAATATACATTGATAGTATTCCCCCTCCCCCTTTTTTTGATTTATTTTTCCATATTAGTATTAAAACCCTATTTATTAGAGTGAATGTATATTTCCCATTTGGGAGGAAATTTCGATTTCTGTCTTGTTTGTATATTGAAACGTGTACGTATGCCTTTTGCATTAAATATTATTTTAGCGTATCGATAAAATCGAGTCAGTGAAGCCAAATATAAGCTTTTTGGCAAATGAATAGGAAGGATACACAATCTCCTACATCCTCTCTCTCTCTCTCTCTCTCAAACATTTTTAATTTCTGTTTTATTTACACTCCTTTTTTTTACCTCCTATACTTTACTAACTGACTAATCAATTATTTATTTATTTATTATCTATCATTATTACTGTTATCATCACTTTTTACTATGGAACTTTGTTGTTGATGTGTTTATGTATGTGTGTATGTGTGTGACTCATACCACTGTTAATTTTATTAACTGGGGAGAAACAACAGTAGATATACTTATGTATATTATAAATAGGGGAAACTAGTATGGAGATAGGTGTTTCCTTCTGTATGAATGTCTATTTCATTTTCGTTTTGTGTAAGAGAACATGGAAACGAGATATAGATTAAGTCATATTTGATGAAGATGGTTCAACACTTAAATTATTGTTAGAGAGTGAATTAGTCAAATGTCTGATGCACTTTCTTTTTATCTTAGAAGTTTCATCATCTTCGAGGGATTACTGTTTAACGAAATCTTTGCACATAGATTATGAATACTTGTTTGATTTTGTCAACTTACGGTATTTATGGCATAGGCAGACTACTTGGTTGGGGTCCGCGTGACTATCGTAACCAATGGTTGGAGACTCTTGGTGACATGGCTCAGAATCGATCACAATGGCGTCGGTGTATACACTCCCTGTCTTCCCTTAAACTAAGAGATTAAATCACTTCATATCTTTCTTTCTACGAACTAATTCTTCCTTCCTATACTATATCCTTATTGCAACCTTTGACCTAACCACTCCTATGAATCCGGTGTTCATCTTGTTGTGCTAATGAGGTACGGCAACCTGGACCGATGCACATATGTGCCTGGTCCTACGTTGTAGCTGACTGACTGACTGACTGTTTTCTTTTCTATCCTGAATTTCAAAATCATTATGTACCTTTTATCTGCAATTGAATCCTTTATTCTCAAATCACACTCTTTATCTTGAATATTTTTTTACGCTCACTAATATAACTTTTAATTCAGTAGTGATCTTGATGTACTGGTAATTGTATGGCGATTTGAACCAATGCACTTATAATGTCAAGTATCTACGTTGCTTATGACTGACTACATATTTAATTCGTCACTGTTCAATTATCAAATAGTTGTACAATCCGATTGATTGACAATCAAAAATGGTTGACTTTAACTATCTCTGTTATTCATTCTTTGCCGTTTTCTTTTTCCTCAATTTCAACTGTCACGTAGAATAGTTATTTTGTTGTTTTAAATATCTTAATGTGGTTCTAGTTGACCTCATTTTCACACTGAATCCGACATGTTGGTTCACGGGTCTTTGTGAAATCCGCTTCTTCGACTTTTGAGTTAAACGTCCCAATTAGTTTGTATTTCAACGATTTACATCCTGAGCTACTGATTGACGATATTCACCAACTTATTATTTATATTCTTAATCACCAAGTGAACACATAAACTCTTACAAATAAATCCATTAACATTTGAAGTGTCAATACTCTTGTTATGGATTCTAAACTGATAACCCTTTATTCAAAAATTTATGTATTATGGTTGTGATATTAAGATATTCACTTCTCCAACAACAACAAAAAAAGAAGAAAGCGCATATCCTAAATGAGTTTGATGAAACAATCGATTGTCCATACCGATACAACAATAAAACACAAATTCTAGTAAAAAATTATAAACGAATTCCCGATAATTCATTCATTTTTTTATCAGATAATTTTATTTCTTTTTTTGATTAAGATCATAAACCGATTGATGTTAGACCACCATTGGAGCTAATCCGTGTCGGATAGAGACAAGTATCTACCTCAGTACAATGGATGATGGTCGCGCAATTTCGTGGATTGGTTGAGGATAGACATTATCACTGTTGGATACCGGCTGGCTCAGTGGTCCAGTAGGTTAAGCGTTCGAGCGCAAGACTGAAGGCCCTGGGTTCAAATCCCGCAAGCGGGGTCATGGATCCGCGCTGCTGAGGAGTCCCACAACAGGACGATACGGTCGTCTAGGGCTTCCAGGTTTCCAATGGTGGTCTAACGTCAATCGGTTCATAATCTCAATCAAAAACTTAATAATTTTCACAACCCCTTTACTGGTAATTTTATTTCTCTCTTCCGAAGTATCTATATCTTATTTTACCTAGTCCTCTGTATTTTGTCGTCATTTTTCTCTTCCTCTTATCATTTAGAAATAATCACCGATAGTTTAACACCGATTGCTGAACCAGTTTATGATAATTTAGCAGTGTATATCACATGGAAAGCATATACTATCACTACTCCCAATAAATTGGAAACACAAACTCATCATGATGGTGATGATGATGTTATCAGTAGCGATAATAATAACAATAATAATAATAATCCTGATAATAACGCTGGACAAATTGCTTACCATGTTGAATATTCCATGCAAATAAGTCCTGTTGAAAGACAATATATCAATTCTAATCCAAATAACAATGTTGCTGATAATACCAATAATAATAATAATGGTAGTAGTAATAATCATAATAATAATAAGCCATCTTCTGAATTATCTGATTTGCCTGCTTTAATCGGATTAATTGGTCATGAGGCTATCCTGTGGAGTGATCCAACCGCACTTAATCAACAAGTAAGTTTTCCTTATACACATTTATTTTTCTTTGTCATATTAGGGGTGAATTGATCATGTATCCTCGTCTTAATATTGAATGCTTTGCATTAATCGTGAAACAGTGTGTAAAATGTAGACAAGCATGTTATGTTGTGCGAGCTGCCTTTATACGTGCTGATCGTGTTTCTCCCATGAAAAAATGGAGCTTAATTTTGGCAAATAGTGTACACTTGTGTTTTGAGCCAAGTTTGATTGACAAAACATATCAAAGCAACGTTCACACAATAAGCACACATTACTATGGAGTCATTTGTTGAATAGAATGGATTAATTGTGATTAGCAGTGAAATCTAGGATCCATGTTTTGTCTTACATGGGACTCGTCACCCGAATGAAACTGCACTCCAGTATTATTGATGTTCACGTTCGGATTCGTTATTTTTTGCTTTCAATCCCCAACGCGTTATCGATAGACGCTGCAGTATTTCAATGCTTCGCGCATATACACCGGCTCATGCAACATGATTTAAGAGATCAAGTAATGGTTATTCAATACTCTACCAGAATAATTTCCACCAATTAAGGTGGCTAGGACCATTTGGTACGTATGCCCAGCCACCGCTTACCGTGATGAGCAATGTTGTATGGTGTAGGTGTATGTTGGAAGCAATCTAACGTCGACCAAACCAAAATGTGACATCAGTTCATGAATTTATTGAGGATTTTACTGGGGCATGTGAGTAGTTGCAGGTGTAGGCCACCTAATGGTGAGGGGGCTTGGTTCTCATGATTATCGGAACAGATGGTTAGAGATTTTGTGTGACAGCATAGACTAATTCACAATGGCGTAGGTCCATTAACTATTTGTCTTCCTTAACAACTTAAGTCTCAACATCTCCCTATTACGTTATATTTTCCTTTTTTTCTACTACTACTCTGGGATTCATTTTCAATCTGTTTTATACCACTGCCAATGTCGTATGACAACTTGAACTGATGCATGTTATGCGTCAGATTCCACGTTGCATGCAATTGACTTGATTTTATGACTCATTCTTATGTTGACTATTGTCAACTGTTTCGGTAGAAAGTCATGCAATCATTTAAAAATAATTTCAGTAAATATTTCCTTTTTTCTGTTTCTCTTCTCTTCTTTTAACTCTTTCCCCCTGCAAAAAATAGTTTTCATCGGCATATGCTTATGCAACTGGTGATCCGTTACAACCAGGCAGACGTTATCGTTTTCGTGTCATCGCTTTGGATCCATCTACTGGACTACATTTAGTCCCACCATCCGGTTGGTCAAATATAGTTAGTATGGAGCATATTAGTCAAGTGGAACCACCACAAATCAAAGTGGTCCGACCTATGGTAAGTGTGATTGATTTTATTTTATTTCACTTCCTTTTCTTATCTCGATCATCAACATTAATTTAATGGTCATAGCAATTGTGTGCTGACTTTGTGGTTAATTTCAAGAGGTAATTTACGGAGTTCTAGTAAGAAACTATGTGACCAGTGGAGGAGTTCCGCCCTGTTGGAAGTGAGGCAATTACTTACTAAAGGTATTGGATGACGTTTGCCTAATATTACGAATGAACTGTAGTTAAAACTCAGTAGTTTCAGTGGTTAAACTCTCTTGGAAACTTGTCACTTGTTGAGTTCGACCGCTGATGGAATCATAAATGAAAACTATCTATAAATCCCATACTAAGATGAAACAGCTAATCAGTACTTCCTATTTTCTTCTTTTTTTGAATGGTTGCTTACCTTAAATCAATCTATGATCAAAACTTCGAAATAAACTTATTATAAAGAATATTACTACTAATCAACTATTTTGATCATTTTGATGTTCACTTGGTTTGTAATTAATGTTGATACAGAGTTATTTGCTTAACGAATAACACAACCTTACCAAAGTTATGGTATATTTCGACATGTTTTATGGTAATTCCATATGGTGATTAATTGTGATATTGTTTTGTTTTTAACTTAAATGGAATACACTCGAACTAAATAGACTGGAAGATGAATACGCAACACATTATGGAACGGAGAGGAATTTAAAACTCAAGAAAAAGCTTGATATCAGAAGTCAAAATTGCAATAATTCTGTTTGTATAGGCAGTAACTATGACCTTGAGGCACAACAAAGAGCGAGTACTACTAACCAGTTAACAGTAAAGGGCAGTAAGTAAAGATGAATTAGGAGAATTCTTATTAAGGTCTTCACCTCAGAATTATCATTTGTTAAATGATTTAATAGTACGAGGTAAATTTGAGGTCTTCCTAGTTAGTCGCAAGGTGTAAGTCATTGAATCATAAGCCTCAACGACCTAGATATATCCCACACGCTATAGTGAAAATCTGAATCTCCTATATTTTATTTCGTTTAGAGTCTTAAAGTACACATTAGCAATATATATTTTAAATTAGGACACGAAATCTTTTTATCGCTATGAAACACATTAGCTTTCAAGAAAAATTTTCCAGCTGTAATATCAGTTCATGACTGTTTCTTTTCCCTGTGAAATACTTTCAATTTTAAAAAATCTTGATAAACCGTAGACAGTGAGATTTCACCATTTCAGGTGTGAAACATTTATCCATCGCAGGCAGTGAGAAATGATCGCAGTGGTCTAGAAGTTAAGGGTTCTCGCGCGAGATTGATACTCTTGGATTCGATTCCCTGTAATGGGGTCGTGAATCTACATAACCATTGAGGAATCTCATAATAGGACGAAACTACCATTCAATTTTCGGTTGCTGTACTAACTGAAATCATTTCATTAATTAGAAAAACTGAAAATTCTACGATCTCCATATATTCCCCCATACTGAATCTTTGATAAATTAATCACTGTCTTTTTATACTAAACTGAGTGCACTTGCGTTTACTTAAATGTTTTAAATGATAAAACTGCACAATTTCGCTACCCCTATTTTTTTTTACACAAACACAAATAACGTACACATTAGGTAATTTTATTAAATTCAAATTTGTTTGAAAACGTAATTAAGTACTTCATCAAGTGTGTGTGTGTTCTGTTTTATGGTTGTTTCCTTTATTATTTCTGTGTCCTGCTGGTATTGACCTACTTTTTCTTAAAATAAGTGGGTTAGGGGGGGGCTTTTAAAAGAGAATAAATAGTGACCTTCGATTATGGTAGCAACGACCAAATTAAATGTGTTGTTTGCTTACTCTACCCTCACCCCTTATTATTATGTCCTTTTTTACTTATCTGATTAAATTATTTTTTTTGTTGCTGTGTTGTTGTAAGCACTTTGAATAAAAGATAATAATAAACTTGTCTGAAATCAGTTCAGAACTGAATTCTTTTTGTCCTACTCCTCATCATCACCTCCACCACCCTTTGTTAAAAAGCAATACACTGTTGAACTGCTACTTCATGCACTCGTTGTTCATTTAGTGTATTCATTGAAACCGAACAAGGACAATTAATTTTTTTCAAGAATATAATGAATTTGTTTTTAGTTTAAATTTATTCATGAAAGAAAAACCGTTATCAATTATCTTATTAGAATGGACAATTTCGCTGTTAGTGTTCCGTTTGAAGTAGTACTAGTCAACGTTACATCACGGATAAGTTTTAGCTAGAGAGCTAGTCTGGAGATTTGTGAAACTAGAAAGTAGTATAGAACTTCATGAGAGTGTATACCTGCAGATTCATCTGAATTTATTTAAGCACATCGTATTGAGTTTCTTACTTTTATAACACTGAAATTATAACAAATAATTGATAGTTATAACGTCAGTTCTCTAACTATTATCCACTAGTGATATTTGCCATGTATATGCGTTAGTTGAACTCTACTGGTCGTGGTTTCTCAATAGAACTCTTCCAGATGAAAATAATCATGAGTTGTATTTCATTGAAATTTATTTTCAAACAAAGATGTATTGTTTTTGAGATAAACATTGGGAACCTGAAACCACTGGACGGCTACTTCGTCCTAATATGGGACTCCTCAGCAGTGCGCATCCACAATCCAGCAGGCCGGAATCGAACGAGGACCTTAGTCTACTCATATGAACTCTGGCATCTAATTTCTTTAACATAAATAAATCATGTGACATTTTTCAACTGCATTTTGGACCAATAGTTCACTTAATGTTACTCTCAACTACTATCTCATATTTATCGTGTCATTGATTAGCCGGAAGTGATTGGTACTGGGTAGACAGTTTAAACGAGCTGATCGATCCTCTGACTAGATCAATACAACAGCTCTTTCCTGTCTTACAGTTCAATCTCACGGACCCCAATAAGCTCAACAAGAAAATCTATACCAACAAATTGCATTATCTATTGTTTACAAATGACATTTTAGTAAATATAATTAGTGTTAAATAGTTCTCACGCAATTAATTACTATTATTATTGTTTGTGTATTGAAGTGTGCTAAATATTAGGCGAATGATTATCCATTTTCTTGTTCAATATATTTATAATTCAAATGACAATGAACACACGTTGTGATTTTTCATCATCCTTTGAACTGGTTATTGTAATTACCAAAGCTCATATTATTATTGTTCTTCTGAACTATTTGAAGTAGATCATTTTAAAAGATTCATTCTGTAATTAAGTCATACTAGCCAGTACACTCAACGTCATCAATGAAATATTCAATCAAACCAATCATAAGATATGTAAGACCTGTCATATTATGTATTGTTTTATTTATTTATTTTGACACATAGATATTGGTACAAGGAGGCACCAAATACATATGCGCCACACAAATCTCATTTGATATGTGTGAGGGCTGTGATACTGCTCGGGTGCCCAGACCGAAGCAGGTGGTTTTCTTAGAGGGCCACTCCCCGAGACTTCGACCTGAAAGTCTGATCCACAAGACAGTGGAGCATCGTAAGGAGATGCGGTCCCATGGAAGCCGGCGACCAACAATTGGTTCATTCACCATTTGTTCCCGCAGGATACTGGAGCCCATGTGCACCATTGGTTTGGGGTCCGGCTAAAGCGCCGGACATTCGCTTTTCGTCCTCTCATTTTCGTAAAAAACACTCGTGGTACGAGAAGGCAGTGGCGGGGGATCAGTTCTGGTTGCTACAGACAACAAAAGCAAAAAGAGATGAGATTGTCAACGCGAATCCCAGAATATGAAATATTGAGGGATAGAGAATATGATTCGAGAAGGGAAGAATTTGTGAAATAATTAGTGAATACATCTACTCCATTGTGATCAATTTTTGAGGCTTGTCATCCTAGATCTCCAACTATTAATCACGATAATTGCGCGGAATTCACATAGTCTGCACCAACCTTCACACCTTGATTCAACAGTCTATGATTTTATATGTTTTTGGGATGTTTTCGTTTGATTCTGTCGTTCTGTACTCTTACACTAGTCAACATTGTTAACGTATACGGTGGTTGGACATACTTAATTAAAGAGTACAGGATAGCGATGAAGAATGAATTCAATCATATCGTTACTGAGATCGATTCTAAGCAATACCCTAACAATAATCCTCAACTACCCATAAAAATAGTTAATATTTTTGGTCTAACCACCGACCACTAATATAGTACACCGTAACTCTAGAACACCATCATTAATATTAATATTTCATATCTTTTTTTTTTTAAAAAAAAGAAAACTTTCCTTACGAGTTATTTTTCTTTTTCGTTTCCCTCCTTTGCTGCCCCATAAACACACACTCCATGAATCTCAGTCGGAAGGTCGAGTTCATGTAGTATGGATGTTCAATGGTGTTGGTGATGTTCCTTCAAATCCTAATGATTTAGGTATCCTATCCAAATCATCAAGCCCTTCAACTCAAAATAATAATAATAATAATAATAATGGTTTATCACAAAAAGATAAATCATCAGAAATTACTTCTAATTCACTAACTACTTTCGGTGATACAACGCCATTATTTCTTAAAGATTCAAATAATGAACAATTTATCGCTGATCATTTTCTTATACTTGCACGACCTGTAATTAAACCAAAACGTGGTTCCGGTGGTACTATTGAATATGGTGCTTATTGGGCTACACAAGTAAATGGTTCTAATGCTAGAGTAAGTGTAATCGTTTTTTTTCTTTCGGGCAAAAATCAATTTTACATATTATGTAATACTTCTAGTCTCTATTTTTCATGGTTTTACATTTATTTACTTATTCCTTTATGGAATGTTATGTCCAAATATCCAATTCTAAGTCATGGTTTTTAAAAATTCTATCCTTTTTTAAAATACTTGATTCAATATTCTGTCCATAGAATATCGTGGATTCCTGACCGTAGCTGTTAAATTAACATGATCACTGTGTTACATATCATAAAATCAAAGGTTGCAAGTCTAAGATCTAATGGTGAAGTTATACTGTTAGTCGTTTTTGGATTTTATTGCCGTAGGATATTTCTTTATGGATAGTCAACATTTTCAACTGTACTTTTTTTCTCACAGCTCAAAGAAGAATTGTGAAAGGTTGATTCTAAAAAATAACACATTTCACTTTGTTTCATATATTTACAGTGTAGATAATAACGCATGAATAGTACAAGGTGTGGGTACGTCAAAAGCTACTCACGAAATGATCGTATATACACTAGGTTTTGAAACTATTGTCTTTTGAAGTTTGTATTCATACTTCTAAATCTCAAAATTGATACTAATACAGTTTCGTTCTCGGGTACCTCAAGAAGAAATATCTTTCCACAGTGTGTACAACTGTAAAGTGACAACTTTCTACACAAACCTCTAACAGCAGCTAAGCTTATCTTGCTTTTATAATGTCAATTCAAATATTTTATTTGTAGTCCCTATGTTTGAGAACGTAAATCTACAATTAAATCAGTGGGCTTGTGATATCTACATGAACTGAATTATGTTACTTTAGATTTGCTTTGATTTAATCCATTCACAATTAAAACATCCAGTTAGAAAACAATCACAACCCTGTATCCTCAAAGATCCTAATACTGCTAACTTGTTAGTTCTACTCAGGTGGATGCTGATAATCTTCCATTTATTCTATCCTTGATTATCATGCAGTTGATTATATCATTGTACTACCACTTCATACCTCTCTTACTTACTGTTAATATTTTTATTTAAACACATAAACATTGATACAAGGAGTCACCAAATATATATATGCGCCACACTTTGTCATTCGATTTGTGTGAAGACTGGAATACTGCCCGAGCGCTTGAACTCAAGCAACTTTATGTCACTTACGATATGAATCATCGTGTCAAATGTGTACTGTAGGACTTTTCAGTAGTGTGCAGGATGGAACGGCCGTTCAGTGCTTGCAGGTTTTATCATTTTGGTCTAGCTTCAATTGACTCATGATTTCAACTATTAAACATTATTATAATATCCACAAAACCCCTTCTGATATTAATTCTATATTTGTTTTTGTTTTTCTCATACAGGATGGTTTATTGACAGGTTTGAATAATACTGCAAATTATCAAATTATAGTTTATGGAGTTAAAGGAACTGGTGACAACCGACAGATTACACGTTTTTCTAAAGCAGTCTATGTAAATATGGCTGTAAGTTTTATATTTACCAGTGTACAAACATCATCCATGTGTGTGTGTGTGTGTAAATGATCCAATTATCGTTATTATAGTAAACGATACTAACAAAAAAATGACTTAATCTCAGTTGACGAATATCGTTAAATAGATTAATCTTTTCATAGATTGTATGCTTAAACTAATGATCACCTTGTGTAACTTGACCGATGGAATTTGATTGGCAACACTTAGGAGATTATTAGTTATCGACAAAAACATTGGTTTTTGATCCTGAATAGTGTATTATTATTCAGTCTAAATATTTCAATTCTACATGAACTTCTATCGCCTCCGGAATAACATTTCTGACTGTCAATACTGGCTGATGCGAGATTTTAAATGTCCATGAGGATAGGAAGAAAGAGAGGAACATCGGTTCTTCTGAGTTAACAGAATGATCTTTTGAGAGAGTACCAACTAACGTGAAAATTTGTTTGACTATAGTATCCTCTCAATTGCGTTCAATTATCAATATTTTTTACTTAAAAACAACATACTTTATATATATATAGTTAGCTATTGTCCCACCTTTAACTGACTTTCTGTAGTACGGAAATATTCACAACTAATTAATCACTGTATTAAATTCGATCAGCACTATAGTAGGACTTGACACACATGACAGTGATCACTGACCAGTGATCAGACAGGAGGTCAGTCGCAGCCCAGATAGCTCAATGGTAATATATCCTACTATGAAGCTGGGTGGTACGGAATCGAATCTGCCAAGGAGCATTAGTTTCCACAACTTTACAAGTGCACTCTGCTGACGAGTACCGGATAGCACGAAATCTAGGTCTAGAGTCGCTTGTCGACTACCTCTAACCACCACCTTAATCTCAACATTGTACACGTGATATCGAGTTACTTAAACTAGTGGCCCCATTGCAACTAATTCTAGAGAATTCACACAACACTAAGAAGGACTAAAGAAATGTGACAGTGGTCTTTACTCAGTTATACAACCAATGTTAAACATTAATGTCGTGTTTGTCTATTCCTTTTCATATGGTAATAAACTATTGGGAATGATTATTTTTGTAATGAGTTTTGTTTCCATTGTTCTATTTCTTATTGTGTTTTTTAAAAATATACTTCATTCGAAAACAGTCAACTGACTACACTGGTCGTTACAGTTTACTGGATACTTTAAATAATAATCGTTTATTATACATAATCTTGGGTGGTATAGCCGGTGTAATGTTTCTAGTCATGTTCATACTGATCCTGTTGTGTTTATGTCGTCAACATCAAGATCGTCGTACACATAGTCAACGTAAAAAACAAAGTAAGCGTGTAAATAAATATCTTGTTAAATTATGTTGAATTGATTAGTTATGTTGATTTACTGATTTACCGTCATCGCTGATGGCATTTTACTTTAATGTCTTCATCAATAGCGATTAACTAAACTCCACCAGGTTACAAATGGTTTAAACTTTGGTAAGATTCACTAAATTCCTAACTGTGCGCTGATCTGTGCAGACCCTTCATTATTTATCATAACTTCCAGGACTCCCAGTTCAACATTTATGTAAAACTTTTTCTTCATCTTGAACTCAAAGTTAGTCGGTGTGTTGCGTGACCGTTTTGTTTTCTGAGTTCAAAGCTGGTTTGATTCCAATGTAAATGTCCTCATTGGGAAGTATGTGCCATCGTCGTTTCTAACCTGATCCTCCATTATATATGGTTTAGAAGTTCATAACTTGTCTCAAACATAACTAATCGATAGTATGCACCAGACAATACAGAGCAGATCACATGCTGTTCCAAACACCCATGGTAATTGAGAAGTACAAGTGTCGACTGAGGCAGAATTGATTATTCGCTAACTCAAGGTGACGACCCACATTTATTTGAATCAGTTCTATATATATACAATATATTCAGTCTTTGGTAAAATTGAATTGTGTTTAACAGTGAAATCTAGGAAAAGTAGGTACATTCACTTGATCAGTCCGAATAGGACGAAACTCTCACATCTTTAATACAGTTGAAAAAAAAGTTTATTATGGAAGTATTAAGAAATTCACGAAGGATAATTTAATTAAAATTTCCGGGAAAATGTAAATACAACACTTGCAATCACTTCAGCTTCATGTGTTGTTACTCAATCTTTTCAATCACTGATTACGATTATTCTCCAAATAAAGTGCTTTGCATATACATCAGCGTGACTTGTTTGTAAATAATAGGGTGGTAGAGATTGTTGAGTTTCATTTAAATCATTAGCTAATCAATGTTAGACCAACACCCGTTTTGTCCTAATGTGTAACTCTTTCGCAGCTATGTTATCTACGGCTCTGCAACTGGGACTCGAACCATTACCTTTGATCTCATGCTCGAACGCTTCACCTTTAGACCACTGAACCGGCATTCAATGGTGCTAGTGTCTAACTACAATCAATCAGATATGAACACTTTTGAATACCAACTCAGTGGTCTAGAAGTTAAATGTTCTCGCAGAGGACTGAAGTTCCAAAATTCAATTCTTATATGCGAAGACATGAATGCGCACTTTTCACTGACGAATCTGATGCTAGAACGAAACGGCTGTCCACTGATTTTTAGATTTTCAATGATGGTCTAACATTGACCGACTAATAATCTCAATGACTAAGTAATAATAATAACAATTATTATTATTTATTATTATTATTATAAATCTGTGTTTCCTCAAGAAAACTAAATCAGATCATTCTTGCAATTCTTTATTCTTTAAAGATGGTTATGTACACGGGTATAAAGATTCACCGGATTTTCATCATACTATTGATGGAACAACTAGTGGAATAAATAATCCCCAATTATCGCATGGTAATATGATATCGACTAATCAAAGTAATAATAATAATAATATAAACACAAATAATAATCCTTCCGGTGCTCTCACTATAACTCATACTACTAACAATAATACTGCTCTTCCTCATAGTAGTAGTACACATGATCATCAAATTATTCCATCAGGAACAATGATGATGATGATGGGTAATTTACAATGTAGTGGTCTATCGGAACATTCAGCATCAAATAATCCTGTACAAAATGAATTACAGCATCAAATGTACATACAGCAACAACAACAACAACAACACCAATCTGATCAATATAATTCCACTCTGGGCATATCTAAAGAGGCAGCGTATCAACAACGTCAAGCTATACTAGGATCACAATTACAATTACAACAACAACCATCATCATATATGACAAATCAACCATCGTTATCGCATCATCAATCACATCATTCTCTATTACTTCCGTCTGCTGGTGGTGGTACCGGTAATTCGAATTATCATATACTTTCTGGACAAAATAATAATACTAATAATAGTAATGTACTTTCACCAACAATGTTTCATAGTGGTACTTTACCAGGTGGTGGACCACGTTATTTACGACAACAATCATGTAATTCACATTATTTCGGTAGTCAACAACCATTAGATAGAAATATGGTTAGTCCAAATGCAATGGAAATGACTGAACTATATCATCAACAATATCAGAATGGTTACGCTTATCAACAACCACAATTACCGCCGATTCCAGTGAGTGTTTTTTTATTCTTATGTCATTCGTGCGAGAAAGCAGAGTTTTATGGCAGCCTTGCGTAACAATTCAAGGATGTTTGTGATATGATTCTCTACCTCGAAGTACAAAATATCACTTCAGAATTGGCCTGTGTCAGCACCTGAGTTAATGATAGGAAGTGAAGTAGTCGAGTCTATCGACCACTTCATTCATCTGTAATGTTTGACCAGCTCTAATGATTTGGTGTCTGATGAAATGTTGACCCATGGATTGAGAAAACTGATTTGTCGTTTGTCTAGTTGAGTCATCTGTGACATAGACGATGATATATCCGTCTAGTAGTGAGAAGACGAGTTTACTGGACATCAGTTGATCCCATTCTACTCTGTTCATGTGAAAGATGACAATGCAAAACAGGGGGTATTTTTAAGCCATACTAGTATTCGATGATTGATGTGTTGGAAATCTCGTTGATGTATATACATGTGTGTGTGTGTGTGCGTAGGTATGATGGATTGAGTAATGAGGAGGTTAGACGCAGAGTATTAGACAAACGTGACGAATCGATGGATGATGTGTTGAATGTTGATCGTTGTGATAATCTGAATGAATGGTTATAGATTTTGTGTGACATGTCTGAGAAGCGTTTTGTACTGGTGTATTTGTATTTGGTATTTGTGTTCCTCTGTAATCTGTGTTTGAAAATCTCCCTATATCGGCCTTTTTCTTGTTTCCTTACCTAAAATTTTGCTGCTACTGCTGCTACTACTACTACTACTACTACTACTTTTACTTCTGATTGTGCTACTAATACTGGTACCACTCCTTCAGCTCTGAATATTTTATCGAAATTATTCTACCTTACAGTGCTAATATGATTTGACAAGTTGAGTTGGCGCATATATATGTGTGTCAGATTCTACGTTGCATATGACTGACTGACTGACCAAGTGTCTATGGAGATTGTTGAGTTTTTAAAGTTTTTTTAGATCACAAACTGACAAGCATTGAAAACTAAGAACCAGCAGACGGATGCTTCATTCTAACACGTTACTCCTCAGCAGTTCACATCCACGATGTGTCGAATCTGGAAGAGATCTTGCGGCGATCACTTAACCATTAGATCATTGGGCTGGTATCCATTTGTTTACATTTTTAGCATCATTCAACTCACAGTATTGTGCAACCTTTCTCAACATGCCCAAATGGAAAGCCATAAACAATGTGGTTCAACCATGTCGTGTCGGGGTCATTTACCAATCATTCATATTGGAGATAGTTGTACAATACCGCGTGTTGACTGGAGACAGAAACGGCAATCGTTGGACATTGTCTCATTAGTCTTAAGGTTTAGCACTAGCTGTAAGTCCTAATGATTGTCAGTTTTATGCTTGATAGAATCGCGGAGTTCTACACTAGGACGGAACACACCTGTCCAACGTTTCCTGATTTCCAATAGTTGATCTACTAAAATAAGCTTATAATGTAAAACTGTAATATTTTTATTTTTATTCTGAAACAATTCAATAAGTTCGTTTCATCACACGCAGTACAAAATAGGATCTGCCACTAAATCTACAAATTTCACAGAAAACCCAATACTATCAAACTATTGACTATAATTCTAATCATCTTCTTATTCAATGTATTTGTTATGTATCCCAAACACTGTATGTATGTATCCATGTATGCATACTTTACCGTGATGGATATTTTTGATTACAGTCTAAGAAATGTGCAATTAAATAGCCTTAACTATTATTGATTATGATGAAACAACAAATTTGTCTATAGAATCTAGAACAGCGGTTATTCAATCTAGATGTATATAAAAGAAATGTTTACTTTTTTTTTAAAAAAAATGCAATTTATACTTACATAAACTACTTTCTTAGTTATATAATCATTCCGTCAATTATTATTCAACCCCACCACCACCACCACACAATGTTTATGGGCCTGATCTCACCCCCTTCAAGCCCGTTTTTTTTTAAATAAGCACATGGAGTCGAAAGTGTATGTTTATGTGTTTGTCTGTAGAAATTGATGAAATCAATAGGAGTGAGGTGACGGGAAGGGGATACATTGAATTCTATGATTTCTACGTAGAAATTGTTTATATGCAACTCACTGATCGTTTTTTTTTTGCGCTGGGGCTGTATATATGGATCTATGCATCTATGTGTATTTGTTAGTTTATGTTCTCATTCAAAAGAGTGTATGTATCTACAAACACTGACGCCAAATCTGTATATCTTTACGTTATTTTATAATACCTATAGAGTTTGTTTATGTAATAATGCATTTGATAACAAACTACCGTTTCTTCTAATTGCTATCCTGAATTGGATATCTTATTATTGGGTTTTTTTGTATGTCTCGTACCGTTGTATAAACATATATCAATGGGTCTGTTTTTTTTTATTGCGCTATCATTTCTTTCTATACAAGCAACGAATATCTGTAATATTTAGATAATTGTAATAAATAAATGTATGTATGTATTTTCCTAAATTTCAATAATTTATATTTTCTCGAATTGTATCATGGATGCCTAATCTTTTTTTTATTGCATTGAAAACATGAACCGACCAATGGTAAACCACTGTCGAGAACCTGGAAGCATTGGACTACCGTTTCGTCCCGGTATATGACTATTTAACAGTGCGCATTTACAACCCCACTCACGGGAATCGAACCCGCAAATGCTTCACCTCTAGACCACTGAGCTCTCATCCAACAGTGTTAATGTCTAACTTCAATCAATCCACTATATTGCTCGACCATGTTCCATTGTTTTCGGCGAGTAACTGCTTCAGACCCGACACGGTTGTATTTCATTATTGACGGTTTCCCGCTTTCGGTGACGTGGATATTCACTGCTGAAGAGTTTTATACCAAAACGAAACTGCCGTTCAATGGTGGTCTATCATCAATCGGTTCATGATTTAAATGATATTTAATAATTTCCACAACCCTATACCTTTCTATTACCTCTTCTACTGTAGGATTCGGCCTAACAATTTCATCACACTGTGCTAATGGAGTACGACAACTTGAACCTATGTACTAGGCTCTACTTTTCGAATAACTAACTGACTAATGTAATTATGCATGTTCCGCTGTTTCTGACAGAGATATTTTTGTTATCAAATAATAATAATTTTGAACACATGTGGAGAAGCATACAAATTGTGCCAAACATCACAGTCATTACTTATTTCAAATTAAGGTTTTTACATTTTGTTGGAATAATTAAGCGGTGGATGTTTATAATGTATATGCCATTGTTTTCTTTTTCATCAACTATCCACATGAATAAAAGCTATTCCCTGATTGGTTAGAAATGCATTGTGATTGTTTTATACTCATTCCTGTACTATACTTTTGTCTAAATTGAACTACAATGTACGGCAATTAAGAAAATGCAGTATGTAACAAAATAGCCCATTTAGAGTATTAAATTATGATACCGAGAACATGATTAAATTACAGTAATTTGAGAACAGAATAAGATATGGTGACAGTTTATAGACCAGATGAAAGCTCAAGATTTGGAGAATAAGGGAATTGCATAGCCCCTCTTAGTTAGACTCACCATTCGAAACTTGAAAGTACTAGATCACCATTTTTCCTCGTATGAGACTCTTCAGTGTCAGTACACACCTACAACCATGCGCACGGGAGTCGAACCCAGGATATTCGGTTTCACGTTCGAAAGCTTACTCCCTAGTCTATTAAGCTAGCATCCGACGGTGTTAGCGTCAAGATTCAATCAGTTTTTTTGGAGAGATTGGTACGCTAAATATTGTGCCTATGATTATATATACAATTTTAATGTCCTGTTGTGATTATTTATATGTAGCATCCACAATCATCATCAGGTCTACCACCCCCGTATCCAACACCATTGAGTAATAATGGGACCATAAATCGTCAAATGGTGTTAAATCAACAACAAAATTTTTATCCTTCTTCAATGACACCTAGTGGTGGGGCTTCGTTAAAACGTGAACCTCCAACTGGCAGCGGTGGGGTCAGTGCTGGTGCACTACAGGATGGATCGGGTTATGGTATGTTTTCCTCTTCAATGAATTAATGAATAATTTTGTAAAGGGTTTTTAAAAATATCTTTGTTTTGCTCACCACTTTCACGTCAGTTAGTCGTAGTCAATGTTTAAGGCTGACAGCAATCTGTGTTGATCCAACATACCACAAAGATATGATATATTTTTACTGTTACGCCTAGCTTTATTTGTGAAGCTCGTTTTGTCTTTCTACTTACTTTACTCTCCTTTCATCAATCATAATTACCGAAGATTTGATGACGAAGAACCTGGAAAAAATGAATACTTTTGAGTGTTTAGGCTCTTTATTAATTCAATATGATGGTGTTCAGTATTGTCAGCTGATCTCAGTTTTACAACACCTCCAATTAATACGTCCCAATATTTGATGGCGATGTGATGGTATCGTTACTGGGTCTTCTTATGTTTGTACTTAATGTCATGGCTTAAGTATCGCTAATAGACATCATATGAAATATCATTTCCCAATCAAAATTCCGATTGTCAATTAGTTCATCTATATGACCAACAGAACCAGTCAACTTCAAACTCACGAATCGACACACCGATTAATGAACAACATTCAAGACCTCAACATTTATTGATCCTCGAGCTCCTCCCAACCTAGTAATAGCCAATCAGCAGACACGGATAGGAAGCAGATCAGTTTTCTATCATAATCAGCTCAGTTATTACCCGAAACCCATACAGTGGCATACTTTATATACCTGACCCCTCAGCACATCAAACAAGAAATCATACTTTAGACATAATCATGCCATAAGCGAGCGAAGTAAACAGTACATAATGAATTAGCAATAACTATTTATTATTATTATTTATTTGAACAGATAAATACCGGTACAAGGGGGCACCCGATACATATGCGCCACACAAATCTCATTTGATTTGTGTGAAGACGGTGGTACTGACTGGGTTCCCAAGCCGAAGCAGGTGGTTTTCTTAGGGGGCCACACCCTGAGCCTTCGACCTAAAGGTCTGATCTACAGGGCAGTAGGGCATCGTAAGGAGATGTAGTCCCATGGTAGCTGGTGACCAACAGTGGGTTCATACGCCATTTGCTCCTTCAGGGTACCGGAGCCCATGTGTACCATTGGTTTGGAATCAGGGTTTTCCAACTCCCCTAAGTGGACTCTTCATGTCCACCATCCCAGTTAAAGCGCCGGACATTCGCTTTTCGTCCTCTCAATTTCGTAAACAACACCCGTGGTGTGAGAAGGCAGTGAGTAGGACTTCCCTGACAAAGGCTATATACACATGGTCATGTGAGAATATTTCGAGGGGGAGAGTGGACTCTCCCCACTCTTGGCCGTACTAGGGCATTTAGGGGCTATAATCAAATGTAGCATAATTGTTGATAAGTCCACTGGAATCTTTCAATAGGGGAAATATACGAAACTCAGTTAAAGTGTTTATGTTATTGTTAATTATCAGCTAGTTAAGTATGTATTTGCGTAATAATCATAATAATAATTACTTGTAAATTGTGAAAATATCACTCTTTTTAGATGGTATCTAACTTTCCTTTGTCTAACAAAATTTTTTTCAAAAAAAAACTCCGTTTTTTTTGTTACTATTCATCATGATAACATCTTCACTTTCTTCTTGTCTATTTATATAAACACACATAACATTTTTAAAATGGAAACACACACCTATCTATCTGAAATGATTCAAATCATCTATGAATGAATGTATATATTTCTGTTCGGATATTGTAATCATACACAATGAACAGTAGAGCTATTGTTTAGGATAGTTTAAAATATCATTTAGATCATCTAAGATTGATGATCAATTCATTGGTTGGTTGATTTATTATTATTTTTCTTCTGTTTTCTAAGTATTATTACATAATTTGTCATTTTAATGTTTGTGTTCATTTACATCTTTCTTTTCTATCAACTATTTGTATTGGATTTGTTTGTTCAAATAGGTGTTTTATGGAGATCGATGAAACTGGTTAGGGTGTATTTTTCACAAACTAATCTCAGTTGAGGTGTTCTCTAGTTTTTAATGATACTTCAACTATGACCTGTATGTGACAAATACAACGTAAAAATTAAATAAATCTGAATAAAAGAAACCTTTAAATAGACTAGTGAACACCTTTATGATGTTCTTGAAATCTTAATAAGTAGTAGTAGTCTTGGGTATTAGAGCTCAGACGTATTCGCACTGAGACAGTTGTCATCACATTGAATAAAGTATAGTCGATAGCATTCGATCTTCATTAAGTAGGACTTGACACATATGACATTGATCACCACCCAGTGATCAATCAATTGTGATCACATCTCGGTCGTACAGGAGGTCGGTCGCGGCCCGGACACCCCAGTAGTAACGTCTCGGACTGTGAAGCTGGGTGACACGGGATCGAATGTGACAGGGAGCATCAATTCCCTCAAGATTACAGGTACACCTTGCTGACGAATGCCAATTAACACGAAACCCAGGTCCAGGGTCTCCTGTTGAATACCTCCAACCACCACCTAAAGTATGAATTTTACCATTGGATCTGTTGACTCAGTGGTTATACAATGGTTAAAGGGTTCTTTATGAGACCTGAAGACCCTACTTTAGAAATTTACGAGGTGACGTGAGTGTAGGCATTGTGTTGATTAGGAGTCTCATTCTAGAAGAAATAACTGTCTGTTCAGTTCACTTATATTGGTTGTCCAAACCTTCCCATTGTTGTTTTGGTCTGAAATTGATCTGTCTATTTGGTATATGTGCGTCTTGTAATGATTGCCTCGATAATGTCATTAAGTCACAAACATAAGCAGAGATGGATTATGGCTAGTAGTGGGATCCGTGACGTTCATTTCGTCTTATTTGAGACTTGTCAGATGTATTTGTCTGCATCCAGGATTTTATATTCACTCCAGTTAACCCAATGGCATTTGAAGCGAATGGTCCTGGTTTCGAGTCCCGGATTGGACATCAACTTTGGGATGCAGGTACATCCAGCTGACGATTTTCGATTAAGAAGAATTGTGCATCCCGAATCCCACTATCCACCTCTGTTTATAAGAGTCTATTCACTTTGTTTTTTTCCATTCATATATGTTTATTTCCTGCGTAAATAATCACCTTTACAATTTATGATAAATTATAGGGACATTAGTCCAACGTGGTGGAGGTCCATTAACTGCTTCCATGATGACTGACCCATCAATTAGTAGCGGTATTAATGGTGTACCAATGAATGCTGTTTATTATCGTGGCAGTCAGCAGGCATTACATATGTACCCTAATGGAATGAGTACTCCTCAATCTCAACAACAACATCATCAAGGTGGCGGTGGTGTATATCAATCAAATCAACAACAGGCATTTTATATGCAACAACAAATGCAACATGCTCAAATGTATCCAGGTTATTTTAGTCCACAGCCTCAGTCACATTTCGATTCTATGGGACATATGTAAGTTGTATCCACTGTCGTTGTTATCGTTGTCGTTATCGTCAATTTCATCTCATCATTCAAATTTGGATTGATGAGTAAATAAATAAATACAAATGATTTTCTCTTATCAGGCGATTCACTTGGACTTTTGAGTATGTAGGGTGATATAGTTCTGTGCTTGGGGTAGATAGATGTCGACAAAATCTTGTGACCGCTTTAAGCAATAATTCAAGGATGTTTGTGATATGATTCTCTACCTCGAAGTACAAAATATCACTTCAGAATTAGCCTGTGTCAGCACCTGAGTTAATGATAGGAAGTGAAGTAGTCGAGTCTATCGACCACTTCATTCATCTGTAATGTTTGACCAGCTCTAATGATTTGGTGTCTGACGAAATGTTGACCCATGGATTGAGAAAACTGATTTGTCATTTGTTTAGTTGAGTCATCTGTGATATAGACGATGATATATCCGTCTAGTAGTGAGAAGACGAGTTTACTGGACATCAGTTGATCCCATTCTACTCTGTTCATGTGAAAGATGACAATGCAAAACAGGGGTATTTTTAAGCCATACTAGTATTCGATGATTGATGTTTTGGAAATCTCTTTGATGTATATACATGTGTGTGTGTGTGCGTAGGTATGATGGATTGAGTAATGAGGAGGTTAGACACAGAGTAATAGACAAATGTGACGAATCGATGGATGATGTGTTGAATGTTGATCAAGTGAGATTGCTGGAACATGTGTTAGGTTATATATGCCGAACGAGTGACAGTTTCGGTTGACGATGTTGTCTAGTGTGGGCGTGGGTCGTCACAAGGTTGAGTAGGGTGAAAAGAATACATGATGTGTCAGTGTTTGAAGTTGATGAGACTCGGACTGATCGATGTGAGTAGTCGTAGATGTAGGTGTAGACTATGTGATTGTATGTGTTGTTGGTCGTTGTGATAATCGGAATGAATGATTATATATTTTGTGTGACATGTCTGAGAATCGTTTTGTACTGGTTGAGTTGTGTTCACTCTTTGTGTTCCTGTGTTTAAAAATCTCCTTATATCCGCTTTCTTCTTTTTCCTTTACCTAATAATTTCTACTATTACCACCCATATTACTCTGAGATTCACAAACAAATCATACGATTTTTATCTGTGCTTTGTCATCCAGTCAATATGATTACTTCTCTCTGTTTTTCTTACTTTTATTTAGGCATCATAATTTCAATCATACTGACGGCGAATCAGTCTATTCATATTTTAGCCAACAAGATATGAATCAACCTGGTCCACACCAACATTTAAATCCATTGCCTGAAGAAAATCAAGTGGGTTTATTTAGTGATTATTGTTCATTAGAATTTCTTCATGATGTTCAGTATTAATTTCACTGAATTTCAGTCTTGTAGATCTAAATGTGTCTATGCTTATATGTGCTTTAGTTATTTCCACTACATTATAATGCTTTATTATGAATCTGCATTGTATACGTGACTGACAATAACTGTAAATAAATCGGTATTATAGATATTCTTCTGTTTCCATGGAAGGACAACACTGTAAGAGCTAGGAAACACCTGTTACTCGAAGATGATAGGTGACAGCTTATTACTACACGGTGGCACGTAATACGAAATCCCTAGTGTATCAGAATTTCCTCCTGATCACCCACCATCAACCACACAACTTGATTTACTCATTCCTTCTGTGTCTTATTTAAACTAATCTAATTATTTTTCCTTTTCTAAAAATAAGCTAAATCAATGTGAAAATGGTCCCGGTTACGTGGACTCTAGTATTCAAACAGCTGATATGAATGACGGGGGTGATGGCACAACAGCGACGGCGGCAGTAGGCACGACTACAGATCCTGGTACCGGCGGTAGTCCAGTCGCCGGTGGTGGTAGTCATCGCCATCATCGTCGAAGGAGACGTAAACAGTCACAACAACAACAATCCCAGTCATTGTCACAACAACCCGCAGATATGTCGGATACATCAAGAAATGTTGGTGTCGATGATCCCGCTACTTGTGGCGGCGGTGGGATGGTGATGATGGACCGTTTACAAAACCAAGCTCAATCAGTTCGTGGTTCACAAATGGTAAAGAAAAAGTCATTAAACTGTTTTCCTATCTCTCTCTGTCATGATGATTACTTTTTTTGTTTAAAACTTGTGAAGAAGAGTTTCTGTTAAATATGTATGACAGGTGGTGTTAACGACAATGATCTATTGAACATAATAATTATACAGCCTTTCGAACATTTGACAAAAAGAGAGAGCAAGATTTGTCACAAGCTTTTATTAAGGTTAGATGTATGTTTCGTCATTGTCCTAGACTTATCAGCTGCATATAAACCTTTACATCATTGACATTCGAACCCGGCACCTTTCACTGTAAATATCACTGCGTTATCTATTAAGTTACAGAGTTCAGATAACCAAATCAGCTTGTGCACTGAGTATGAAGAAAAAAGTTTGTATTTTCCTGTTTTCGATTTCCAGGTTGATCAGTCTCTATCGATTTATATTAATCCTGTACTAATTACTTCGATATATTTGGTGTGTGGCTAGCTTTGGAATCAAGGATTACTGGTTCTTCTCACTTTGAACTCATCAAATGAATGTATCTCTTATAGTTTTTACCATCATATTCTCTAATTAACTAAATATACTTGTTTAACATATATTAGTTTAGTGTTTCAGTCCACTCACCACATGAAAATTTCAACATTATGTCGATTGGAAATGTAATTACGAACCTTCTTCCTCTCTTTTTTTTTTACATTATCTGTATAGGATATAGGTGTAGTACAGAAACGACAACATACTCTATCTCCTGGACCGTATTCCGATACAGATCCAATGATGAATGGTCAATCTAACATGCCACCTGGTCATCATTCTTATCCACATCCAAATGGATCGATGGAACCATCACCAATGTCAAGATATATTCGTTATGGTAAGTTAAACGACTATTATGGTGTTCTTTAAGTGTAAAGAGTTTTTTTCTGCTTTTAGAGAAAACGGATTCTCTCATTTTAATGATCAGCCACGTTTAGAGTTGTTAAAAAGTGATTAAGAATAGTCAATGTCGATCGATGGAATACTTTACTGTTGTTTGATAACTCCTCACACCAACCTGTGAATTATTGACAGAAGCTATTGAGAAATGAATCATTTTTTTTAAAAAAAAGCATGCTGGATAGTTCTGTCGTAGTATGCAACTGTTCAGCAGTACACTTCTACAACTAAGGGGATCAGATTGATGTAAAGTAGTGAAAGTAAAGTAAGATTGGTCGTTGAGTGTGAACAAACAGTCACAGTCTATGGACTATTAAATATGTGATTATCCTTCTTATCATTGATTTCTATTCTGGACTCACTGTGTGTGATTGCTGGTAATTGTGTTGAATAAAGTATTATCTAGTTTTAATCTGATACTCGATCTTTGGGTTAAGAATCCTGTTTCTGATATAACACGATTAGTCTTAATAACGTATGATCGTAATATACGTGAGAGAGGGAAAATATTACAAACTTTACGTTATATCACGGATCCTTTTAAATTAGTTGTGCGATTTGTTCAGGGTTAAAACCGGCTTTTCTTTGGCACTTACGTTCTGTTAACCAAAATTTCAAAAGTTTTATTTCTACAATTACCTTTGGTTCAAATTTGGTTACTACTACCACCGTAATTTTTCGCTCGTTTATTTTGGTCAATGCGCTATTATCAGAACTCTAGCTATGTGTAATATTTATGACTTATTATAGCTCCCGTCTTATGTACATAAATGTATGTATATGAATTTAATTTCTGTGTTCACTGGGTTTTAGATTCACCTCAACGTGCTCCATCCGTACTGGGTCAATTACCACCTCCTAATCAACCTCCGCCGCCACCACCACCCCCAGCTGTAGCAGCTATGGCATTCGCTGCCCAGATGAATAGCTCAGATCATAGTCGACACAATTCAATGACTTATCAACAACATCATCATTTTAATCCAGATTCCCTTTCGCGTCACATTGGCGGTGGCAGTGGGGTCGGTGCTGCTACTGGTGGCAGTTCCGGAGTTTATCACCCATCTGGTTCTGGTACTACCGGTTTATTAGTCGGTCCACCACCTCGTATACGTGACTATTCGGAATATGGTATTCCACGGGGTATTGGTCTTCCTCCGACACCAGCTGCTGCGGGGGGCGGTGGACAACCGCAACCACCACAGCACAATGTCTTGATGTCACCTGGTGGTGTCAATAATAATATCAATAATGCTAATCATGGAAGCGTGTATTATGACGGTCATTATCGCGAAGGTCAAGCATAAATTCACTTCTTTTTAGACCTATTACTAACGATTCTGCTTCTTCATTAGTTTTCTTGTCCAAAATAACAGCTTCTGTATTATAATACACAATCATAAATGATCGATCTACACCATATTGCTTTTCCAATCATTGATTAGTATGATTATCGTTCGAATTTATTCTGTATCATAATGTGCTGTCGTTTATATTCACTGTTGTTCCTGTACGTTGATTCGTTAAACCAGCATTTTTTGTTTGTCTGTTTGTTTGTTTGCTTGTTTTTTTTCTCTCCCCTCCCGCTTGATACGCTTTTTTAATGTTTATCCTTTAGACAATTCAATCTCTGTCTATATCATTATCAATCAGTTACGGGATATATGCACATATATAAGTGTAATTGTCACCATATTTGTTTATATGTTATATGTGAATAAGTTATGTAAGAAAGTTTACACTTATTACTCTGTGTTTCGTTCTAATCTTTCTCGATTATTGTGGAATAGTCGGCGTATACGCGTGGCTAGCTTATTGGCTTGATCTCTTTCTCTCTCTCTTCTCTGCCTTCGATCATCTCATGTGTGTGTTTTAAGTAGAAAAACACATAAACCGATCGCGTATTACAATTATTTTATCATTATATTGTTTCTATTCGCAATCTCATCTATGTTTAGCAATCCATTGATTTGTTTGTTTTAACGTTAAACGGCTGCCCGCTTTTTCTGAATACTGTTTTTTTTTAATCGATGTGATTGTTTTTTCTCCTTAATTATTCAAGTTGATTTATACACCTTTTCTTTTTCCCATTCAAAAGGAATTTCACCCATATACAAACACTCTGATTAGGATGTACTAGTATGAGTATGAGTACTGTAGCAATACTACTACCACTACTGTTAGTAGTATAATTAGTAGTATTAGTCAAAATCAACACTTCCTTTTATATTAACCATCTTATTTGCATCATATTGTACGGGTATTATTTACTTTTTTTCCCCAACTGTATCATCTTTTCAAGTTTATTTCATGCATTTATATTATATATGCACGTGTTGTATGTATTTTACCTTGTCTCTTACCGTAAACATTATCACATCTCTATATACTACCTATCTGTACTACTAATAGTAGTATTAAAAGTTACCATAACTTAATTTTATTTACGTTAATTTAATCTGTATTTTCTTTTTCTCCATTTTTATTATTCTAGACTAATTATGCATGTATATTATTGATTCATTGTATTTTTTATTGGTTCCATATGTGTACTTCAATTACATGTATTGTGTTTTCTTTTGCCGGTTATCATAGACTATTTTGTTCTATAACCTCTCTCTATCTCTCTCTCTCCTATCAAATTAACCAAGTAAACATTTACTGGCCACATGACATGGCTACTTACTCACTAATCATCAGTTCATTCATTACTATGCCATTATTATATTATGTAATTACTATTGTCTTGTAGATATGTACAGTAACAGTATGTATATATATATATATGTATGTGTGTGTATGTGTTTCACTACTCTGTGTGTATGATTAAAACTTATATTTGCTTACCAATATTAATATATAAAATACACTTTGACTTATTCTCTACATGAATGAATTGCCTTAATTGTCCTTTTTCATAGACAAAATTATTTTACTTACCAATATATCTAGGTTCTGTGTATATTCAATCCTTTGATGAAGTATTGCATACACAAACACACGCACACACACACACACACAACCACATCAAATCACATGTCTTTGTTGCCTTTCTTATATTCCTGCTTATTTCATCATGATTTCATTACAGAAAAAGAAAGAAACATTATCATCCCGGTTTTAAATAGCCCTTATTCACTTTGCTTATGTCTATGTAAGTGTACGTATGTATGTATGCGTGCTCGAATGTATTCTTATTTCATTCATTGCCTCTTGACAACAAAAATGCTTACATTATTATATTATCAAGTTGTAGGTAAACCGTTTTGCATTATCCTTACAGTTTACTCTCTACATGACAATGTTTTTTTTTCATAATGAAGCAAGGAAAAAAAGAATTCACAACCACACACACACACACACATTCTTTTTTCTTTTCTCTTCCAATTGTCTTTAATACCATTCATATTTTGCATAGTTTGAATAGTTGTCTTCTCTTGTTTGATTCTTTTATTCTTTACAAGTCATTAAATATATATATTTATTGAAATGTAACCAAATTGTACGCATTCACCCCGTTCAAACTCTCTGAATTCATTCTGTTGTATGTCAGTTATTTTAATGGCAAACAAAAAAATTATAATCTTACGTCATGTATCCATATACTTGTATCGTCGTACGTTCCATGTCTACTACTACTACTACTGCCACTAATAATAATATTGATAATCATGCATCTATATATATTAGGTGTGTAGATTGAAATTCAAACAAATGTGTGAGGTAATTACTTTTCCAAGTGTTATTATGCATCTTTGTTAAATAATATTATGACTATTGTTATGAAAGAATTATGTACAATTTTTATGCCGTTCACTATTCTGTTTAGTTTAATGATAGTTTTTAATTAATCAATCAATATCTGGTCATTTGTTTAAGACTAATATGTGTTCTAGTGTTTATCTATTTTGAACATATCAATATTGCAATTGTTGAAATTATGAGTCAATTGAAGGTAGACCACCATGAAAAATCTGGAAGTACTGGATGGTCGTTCTTTCTTCCTAGTATGGGACTCCTCATCTGCTCACTAGTGACTGACATCAAGAGGCATTTCCTGTAGTTCTAGTGAGAAGCCGTGACCAGTGTAGTTCAACCAGGTCTGTTATGAGATATCAGTTCATTGAAGACAATGGTGGATTGGTTGAAGTTAGATATTAACACCGTTGGATGGCGGCTCAGTGGTCTAATCGTTAAGCAATCACGCGCGTGACTGATAGGTCCTGGGTTCGAATCTCACGGGGGGCGAGATCGTGGATATGCACTGTTGCGGAGTCCCATACTAGGACGAAACGGCCGTTCAGTGCTTCCAGGTTTTTCATGATGGTCTAGCTTCAATTGACTCATGATTTCAACAATTGAAATTTCTAAAATCTCCACAAAATTCCTTCTGATATGAATATTGGTACAAGGAGGCACAAAAACATGTTTATATATGCGCCACACAAAGCATTCGATTTGTATGAGGGTTGGGATATTGTCCGGATATCTAAACCGAACCAGGTAGTTTCCTTAGGGGGTCACACTCCGAGCTTTTGACCTAGAGGCCTAATCCACAAGATAGTGGAGCAATTTTAGGAGATGCAGTTCCATGATAGCCAGTGACCAATAATTGGTTCATACACCTTTTGTGCACCATTGGTTTGAACCTCCTATCTAGTTAAAATGTACTGTCATCGTTATTGTGGTATAGTTTAATGACTTAGGTTGATACATTTTGTACTAAGTTTTAGGTTATTCACGACAGGTCACTACTACTGACGGAGTTCGAACCTCTTCGTAGTTAGAGATGTTTTATCTCAAGACGCAAAATTCTGACTATTATTTTCCTAATCTGCGTCTGCTATTCCACCTACAGTCTAGCGTTCTTAGCCTTGAACAATGATACGTCCTGACTGGCATAAGTGATCTTGAGTTAACGCAAGCTACCTTCATACCTTCAAGCACTTCTCTATATCCAGCGTTTAGTTCAGAAAGTCAGCAACCAACCTATTATTTTATTTCAATCAGTCGGAACACACAAAAATAATCTCAAACTTTTACTGGCTTATGTACACGGACTGCAAAGCTAACCAAATGAGAATTCATAGTTTAGATACAATCATGCCATAAGTCATAGAGAGCGAAGCAAACAGTACACGATTAATTAGCAATATTTAAGTAATAGTTAAATGTATAACGATAGTTAATAGGTCCACTGAGAGCTTGCGATAGGTTAAATATAGCAATACGATTATACAGTTATCTGTTAATTATACAGTAAAAATGTAAATCCCCTGGGTCGTGATCTAGTTCTGCCGATCACTTGGTAATATGGTCATTAGTTCAGATGACACTATATTGCTTGCAGTGTGTTGATAATGTTAAACCGACAGGAAAAACCTTGTTTCGACCTAGGTTTTATGCTAGTTAATACTCGTCAGGAAGGTGTAACTGTTTATTACATTTGAACAACCAACATTCGTTAGTTTTCTTTTAATACCACGATTGCTTGCTGTAGACATGTTTTCGTTTGAAATCATAATCTAACTAGAAATAGTTTAGATAATACATAATTAATTGCTAAGTTTTATTGTCATTGATATATCTGATACTTGATCGCTTGGCGATAACTTTCTAATCATACTATCTAATCCCCTAAAGTGTGACGCTGAACATAAGAGGGAAGGCAGAAGGTGTGAGTGTAAGCTTTACTTCGAATGTTAGTTTAAGTACAAAAAAAGACAAACGACAGGTGTTTTAGAAACTTCCTGTAAACATATTCGGTCTTCGATTAATACGATTAGAATATATCAAATGATCCATCGTTTTTCTCGGACTCTCGGAGGCTTCTATTATACTCTAATTGGACGAAGTTTCTTGAGTTTTTCAAAGGCTCACAATATTCTAAAAAACTTTGACGAGACTATATGAACGAACCAATCAGATATAATATAACAGGTCTTGGATTTTGGCGCGAAATCCACTCATCCTTTTGTCTAAATAATGTTCTGGCATTTTAGCCGATGTCAGTTCGCGATATAAAACACTAAATCTAATCCATACCCATCAACTGCAAATCATAATTCTAATTTCTTACACTCTTTTATAACTTTCATTTAGTCCTAATTATTAGGCGGGTACTCAAGGTCGCTCATAGGTTGTCTACAAATTATAGCCTCACTAGTTTCTTGTCAAATGATATAATTTAATAATTGAATTCATGAGTTGATTGGGCGGTTGTTTCATCCCAGTATTGGACTCAGCAGTGCGCACACGAGCTCTTAACCACTAGACCACTGAGCCGGCATCCAACGGTGTTAACGTC